TGTGTGCTTGCTTTGGTTTTCGCGCCTGCGACTGTTTCACCTCTAGTGTTGAGACCCACAAGGACGGCCTACTGCGCTGCTGATGTAGTAAAGAGGCGACGGTTCAAAAAAAAAGATGTTGCGTAGAGCATGGGAAGGCTGTCCTTCAAGGAATTGGAATCCCTAAAACAGCAGAAGGAAAAGTGGCTGGGCAGAGAGGAGGGCAATGACAGCGTGAGAGCGGGGGGAGCGGTTAGAGCGGACCTGGAATCTCTGAAACAGCAGAAGTTCTCGCTTGGTGATCCTCCGGAGCTGCCAACTCGCCCAGAGCTGAAAACAAGAGCGTTGCGTGTGGGGAGAACGTTGTGCCTCCAGGTTTTGCCCAAGGTGGAAGTTGTTGGACTGCACGAAGAAGCCCGTTCCTGTTTGTATGATGTGTGTCAACAAGTCCCAAATTGTGACCAGGAAGACTCAGACAGTAAGTGGTTGTCCTGTCGAAGCTTGTTGCAGTGTGGCCTAGGAACCGCTATTGAAGGATTGTTGTGGAGGAGAAGCCCGTAGCCGATGTTGAGCCACCGAAGATGTTGCAAACAGCTGCGAAATTCACCCATTGGAGATGGAGGTTGGGAACAAACATGCTCCTGCAAGTTGTTGGTGGGGACTTGACAGCGAATCTGCACGAGAAGACGAGCGCTGATGAGTCTCCATTTTCGGGATCCAGGCTCGCAATGTTCGCTGGATGTCGATGCTGTGCATCGTTTGAGCTTGCCAGCCCGGCAGCTGCAAAATGGTGAGTCCTGCACTTCACTTCGCCGGTAAGGAAGTGTCGTTAGATGCCGAGGTTTAAACTTACATGCAAGGTCGCGATGCCCGAACTCTCAGAGCGATGCTCTGCGGGCCTTTCGTTGTGTCGGTTTGAGCGCCGCTGCATCGCATGTGGTAGTGCTTCCGCGTCATCAGGTTGATGGAGCTCGGTATTGTCACACGGAAGGAGCTCCAGGACGATGAGACACGCGAGGCCATTCTGTCGTGTTGTAAAGCTGCCCCAAGTTGCTGCCGCGTCAGGATCACATGGAGACCTGCGTGCGGGATTTGCGTGTGCAGATGCTCCAGCTGCGCAGAGCTCAATTGAGTTGGGGATTGGTCGTGGTTTGCAAATGATATGACTTGTTGCTTGAGGTCGTTGCGCGATGAGCAAACAGCGAAGGAGTTCTTCCGCGAGCAACTGAGGGCCCATGCGTAAGAACGTTTTTGTTGCTGCTGGTGTTTTTTGGTCTGGGGAAAGGTTTTTTTCGCCGACCGGAAAGGGTCTGAAAGGGGTACTACACAGGCCCGAGCAATGAGAACATTGCAAGAATCCACGCGAGAGGGTGGTTTCGAGCAATGCGAGCAAGCTACGCGAGAGTGTGATTTCAAGCCACATGCACGCACGAAATCAAGGTTTGTCTGCGTGAGACTGATAATATGGGTAATTGTAAACGCTTGCGGGCGCCACCTCGGCAGCCGGGCCGGAAAGAGGGCTTCTGGGAAAAAAGGAGGTTGGGGAGTTGTGCAAGGCAAGGGGGGGGGGGAGGCCCGATCCGGGTCCGCTTTTTCCAGACGCTTCTCGGCAAGAAGCGGGGAGTATAAGGGCCTAAGAACCAGAGTACTGGAGAATCAAATGTGAAAAAGCATGAAAAATCAAATGAATAAGCGCTACACAGGCCGCATAATGCAGGGGCCTGAATGATTAGAAAAATGTGCAAACTACTGGAGGTTGACGCCCCAGCTTCTGCTTGCCAAAGCCAGGCCTGGCCACCACATGCAACCTCCATTACGAGCGCATCCGTTTGCCAGAGCATCTATGCCTGGGCAAATAGTGTCGTCGACATGCCCAGCGAAATAAAGCACGGGTGCGGGGTCTTCTTTCCCGTCGTTGGCGGGATGAAGCTGAAAGAGGCACGGATCCAGCGGACACTGAGATGCAATTGGGGCCGAATATTTCTTTAGTCACGCGAGTCACTTGTTCGGGATGCAAGCCACCTACACCCCAGGAGGTTGCCTGATGTACAGTTTCCCGTGCAGCATTTCGCCATTGAGGAATGCTGCGGTTATAGATCTCCCGCAGGCCATGTATCAGCGTCCATTACCAGAGTATCCGCTTACCACGGCATCATGCAGCATCCATGCCTGGGCAAATATTACTGTCCGTTACGAAAGCATCCATTTACAAGAGCATCCATGCCTCATGTCCATGTTTTTAGCATCTGTTTACTAAAGCGTCCGCTGGCCATGTCCTGACGTCCATTGCCCATCGGTTTACGAGTCCACGCAAAGCATCCGTTTAACCAGAACATCCATGCCTAGCCATGCATTGACGTCCAGTACCACAACATCCATTTACCAGGCATCGGTGCTGTGCAAATTTTACCGTCCACGCGACGGAATCGGTTGTCGCATCCATGCCTGGCAATGCATTTACGTCCATTACGAGAGCATCCAATTACCAGAGCATCCATGCCACAACAAAATGAAGCACCCGCAGCCAAAAAGGTTCCACCCGGGCAGCGAAGTCCCGTCCGCCACGACTTCTGAGCCAGGTCGCCATGCCACTTCTTGAACCACCTCCGTGCCGATCTCAAATCAATTGTTTTGACGGTTCCCTGGCAACTGTCGACGCCGTGCCAGCCTGTGTTCAGGTGGATGTGCTGAGTGTCGGGGGTCGTAGGTAGTAGGTAGTAGGTAGTAGGTAGTAGGTAGTAGGTAGTAGGTAGTAGGTAGTAGGTAGTTGGGAAGCAGGTAGTAGTTAGTGGGTAGGAGGTAGCAGGTTAATAGGTAGTAAGTCGTAGGTAGTTCGTAGGTAGTACGTAGGTAGTAGTAGGAGGAGAGGGCTTGGCGGGAAGTGTGTGACTTCTTCGGCTGCGGCGCCACGTAGAGGTTGCCAGCCGCACCCTCACAGCGGTTTCACCGAACGGACTGCCGCCATGTGGACGAGAAATGACATGATGATGTGCGAGCTGCGTCTGAGCGTGCGGGCCTGATCTTGTTGGCCGGGGCGGCCCTGCCGCGTGGAGGGAGGTGTGGCGTGTGAGAATTCCCGACACGCCCCTCCTCTCCATCATTGAGAGCCTGGTTTGTATTTGGGGCGAGGGAGTTCCACATCATTGAGAGCCTGGTTTGTGTTTGGGGCGAGGGAGTTCCACATCATTGAGAGCCTGGTTTGTATTTGGGGCGAGGGAGTTCCACATCAATTTGGGGCGATCCCTTCTGCTCTCGACATCGCATTTATTTGCTTGCGTGCCATTGTTTTTGGTGTTGTCTTCTTTGAGAACAACAGCTGCGGTGTCCTCACCCGCCCCATAGCCAAAGAGAAGAAAAGCTCTACTTTTTTACGAAGGAGAGGAGGGTTTTTGTCAAGAAGGTACCCCTTCCCTTGATGCTTTTCCAAAAGGCCATGTGAGTCCGTCCCCTCAGGCCATGTGAGTCCGTCCCCTCATTTATAGCGGAAGTTGCACGAGCCATCAAACAAGACAAAAATATGTTCTTGTTGACGGCCTGCTCGCGATGGAACACTCTCGTCGATTGCCCAGAGCATCCATGACAGGTCATATTCTTACGCCCCGCTCACTGCGGCGGTATTTTGTTTCAGGGCGAAGTCAGATCTACCAAATCTCGGATCTGAAGAGGCTGGGTTGATTCTGAAATTCCAAAACCCAGACCCATACACCTGAAGCATTACGGCCTTCAGATTGAGCCTACCCTGCACCAAAAACCTGTACCCTCAACCCAACAGTACAAGTGACCCTTCAGAAACCTACAGCCCTGTCCAAATGCCCACAGCACGATTGCAGGGACCGTACCGACAACATTTTCGCCCCGCGCCACGCTTTCCACGCATACCACGTCTGGCCTTCGACGTCTCGAATTCACAGCGCCTGCCACTGTTTTCATTTCTTGTGCCTTCATCTGTGCTCGAAGTTCTCAAAATGAGTTCAAAATGCCATCGACATACCTTTCCACGGCGGCGAGAAACGTTCATTCCTTGTTGATGAGCATTCCTTTTGCAAGATGGAGAGGAGTTCTTATTCGTCAAAAGGTTTTAACAGCTTCCATAGATGAGAGGAAATTCATTCTCGTCCTATCGAGATTGGGAAGGGGCTTTTGTATTCCTTGCCGGTGCGATTGTCACGGGAGGCTTGTCCTGCTTGATACACGTCGGAGCAATCTCTTCGCAACAAAAAGAACATGAAGATTTTGTGAGGGAAAGGGCTCTCTCATATGTAATTGTAAACGCTTGCACGCGCTGCCTCGGCAGCCGGGTGAAGTGCGGAAGGACGTATTCGAGGCAATTGTCATGGATGGCGAACTTGAAGTGTCGGAAGAGTCGCAAAAGAACGCCAAAGGCGCATCCAAGTATTCACGTGCGAGTTTCAGTCGCAAGCGAATCTCATCAGACAGTACATGGCTTGCGACGAGCCACTGTCAGCACTTGATGGCCTGCATTGGAGTTTATGGAGACGGAAAATGAGGCCTCGAGGCCTCGGAGCCGCAGCTTCCAATCGAACTTTCTCAGAGAAGTTACTTACTGAGTCGATATGGAAGTTTCGAAGCTCGCGAGCTTGAGAGATCGGTGACGGACCCCCGCACCGAGCTGTGCAAGTCCAGTTCGCATCTGCAACGTCGCTTTGGTTCTGCCTGGCATGGACTGTGGGTCTCCAACAACGTGCAAGCTACCCTGCAAGAGTGCTACTTGCCAGGCCTTTGTGGGAACAAAAGTGAAGGCACCGCTTTTTGCTTGCAAGTGTGTTTGGCAACGCTTGTTTCTCATCACGTTCTTGTTTCGGCCTCCTGCCAGCTATGGTGGCTCAAATGCATAATGTTGTTTGGTTATATCGTGGAACGCCAAGTGTTGCCAGTAAAGCTGTCACATTGGGGCATACTATTGAGCCTTTGAGCACATGGAGTTTGTGACAGCATGCAACAATTTGTTCTTGCAAATGGGTTGTTGTCAAATTCATAGACGGAGCATCATGTTGTGAGGGATGCAAACCTTGTTGCGCCGCCCACTGGCCGCTGCCTCAAGCATCCTCACGCATACCCCACAGGAATGGGGACAAGTGCGGCCATGCCGCTCTCCGCACTGTCGCGTGGGATGTGCTGGTTTTTGTTGCAGTGTTGCGTAATTAGTGAAGCATGCGTGGTATTCCACCCCCATGAGCTGCAGCCCGAGGACACGACTTTCCTCACGGACGGAGGTGCGGCTGGAGTTGGAGACTTGGAGTGTTGCAGACCGCAGGGGTGAAGCTCGTCGTGGGGAGTGCTTGGCTGCAGGCGACTGCGCCAAATGCAGCTGGGCCTCCGAATGAGATGGCCGAGGCAGCAATGTTCTTCCATGTTCTTCCATGTTGTGGCATTTGTGCGCAGACACGTGCATGTAGCTTTTTTGGAGGCCGCATCGCAATGGGCCCGGCACGTGGCGCCCATCAGATTAGTGATCATGTGCTGTGACATTGCGAGAATTGTGTCTGAATGTGTGCACTTTCTCAGCAGCCCTGGTGGCCCTGTGCTTCCCCGTGCTTCCCCGTGCTTCCCTGTGCTTCCCTGTGCTTTTTTGTGCGCACGCTTGCAGGTCGCACGGCTCGAAGGAGACACGTAAGACGCAAACTATGTTCCTCGCCAGGCCGCATTCACAGCATCCAGAGCAGCGCAGGCAGCACAGTACGCGTCACAGCAGGCTGGGGCCTTGGGCCTCGGAGCCTTGGGGCTCTTGGAGCCTCTTCACACCTCTACACACTTCTACCTTTACACTCGTTTACACTACTCTGCGCACCTCTGCATATGGGAACGTCTTTAGTACGTGCCAGACTGGAGGCCCAAATGGCCACGAACTCTGCCCAAAACGTCGCGGCCATGGATTGGACCCAATGGACCCAGTGAACTCCATGGAGCTTTTGTGCCATGTTCTTCTCGACGAATCGCCTGATGGCCTTGACGAAGGCGGTTGCACAAGTAAGCTACTTGATGAACAACCCGGATTTACGTTCCACAGCGGTGACGGCCCTTGAGAAATCACTTGGCAAATGTGGAATCTGTACTTCGACAGTGCACCGAGGCGGCAGGTCTAGATGGCATTCTTTCAGACGGAGTGTGCGGCTCTCCTGTGCTGCTTAGCGCGTACCTGTTCAGCCAGCAGGCTAGGGTTGCAACAAGCCGCAGTACGTTGCAATCTCACTCTGCGATGTTAGCAATATTTGCAGCCCTGGAAAGGAGAAGCGGCCCTTGAGCCGAAGGCAGGACAGTCGAGGACTGTCGAGGACAGTCGAAAGCCGAGCATCAATGTGTTGGTGTCCGAGCTTGCCAGGCTGGACAGCTTCATGTGACCCACAAAGACTTGCCGGTCCCGAGCGTCAAGGATTGTGTGAGCTCGCACGGTCCCAACCAACGTGATGTTGGCGCACGGCTGCGTCCTCACACATCCCGTTGCTGTGAAAGCTACTTGTGCTTCTCGATCATGAAAAGAGTCACTGGAGGCTGACATCGGTGACGTTTTGCATGCTCGTGTAGGCGGTGTAAGCGGATGTGGTGCAGCAGCTGTACCAGCAGCAGAGAGCCCGTATCATGTGCGCGAACCAGCGGTAAGTTTGTGAAGATCTCGGCTCAAGTTGCTCACATGGCGGCTCTCCACTAGATGTTGCGTGAACTGTATCCACGGAAGACAAGAACTTCTTGCCATCGCAACACAAGCCAGCTCACTTTACTTCAGCTTGCAAAGAGATCTTGCAATCCTCGAGCGCCTTTGCTGGGCACAGTTTGCCGCTCTCCCGCACATTCCGGACCGGCATGAAAAGGGGTGTCAGCAGTCATCATCTGTGAGCTGAGGACGCAATGGGCCAAACGCAGAACGTGGAAGAAGGCACTTTGAAGCGGTGTAAAGAGGCAAAAGGATGCCTGAAGATGGGTCAAGGCGGCATGTTGGATAGGTGCCCCACCTATCACTCCACCCGAAGTTGAAGTGAATCGCCGGCGGAAGGCTGGAAGGGATGTTTTGTGCATGCAGTGATCGAAGATGCTGAAAGCCCAAGGACTACCTCCATCGTTTGGGGATTCAGAAGGATCATGAGTGCTCACCTCGGTCAGAAAGGTTAGCGCTGGAAGCCTTGGGGAGTTTGCGAGTGCCAGGAAATTTGCCGGCTACCAGCCTCCCGTTCCACCCACCGCAACCGCTGAGGCACGGCTGGTGTTGAACTGTTGTTCGGCTTCGTCTTTTGAGTCTTGCGATTTCTTGCCTGTGCCATGCCTCAGGCACCGGACAGGCTTCAACACTCGGGATCAGGTGAGAAGGAGGCCTGCCGACCTTTTCCGTGTGGTAGTGGACCCTTGGCGCTCGGCCTCTTTCGTGATGTGTGTGGCATGCAAGGGTGAGGACTTTGAAATGAATGCGCTTGATCTAAAGAGTGGGGCACTTGGCGTCTGTTGATTGACATCTGTGGAAACGGTCAGCTTGAAGAGCCAGCTTCAGAAGGATCAACATGGAAGGCCAAGATGACTTCAGAGTGAACTTTCTCCGCAAGCTTTCGTACTCGCAGGTGTGGGTCCCGCAGGCACACTGACATAACACCGCACCTGGTTCATTTGAGCTCAATCTTGCAACCAAGTTTTTGTGTCAAGCTGAGTCCAGCCGGTGTGAGGCGCAGAAGTCACCGCAACACCAGACGGTGATCATCTTCGACTGGGATGACACGCTTTTGTGTACGTCATTCCTCAACCTCCGCCAGGACATGGCATTCGGGTGAATTCGGATGGGATCCATCTACAAAGTCGGGGAGAGCAGAGAGAGAGAGAGAGAGAGAGAGAGAGAGAGAGAGCAATCTTTTCAGTTTCACGCCGACCTCACCAGACGGATCCGCGTGTCTGGGCGCGCCCAGTGCGCGGGGGGGTTAGGGTAACTTCCCTACTCCTCATGCCCCGTAGAAGAAGAAGAAGATGAGGAAGAAGAAGAGAGAGAGCGAGCTGGTGAGATGACGGAGTGTTGCAGTATGTTGCAGTATGTTGCGTTCCTTCCAGGAGCATGGACTTTCACATGCAGTGGAGCGCTGCTTGAAGGCCTCGAACGGCCTCGCTGCACTGCACTTGCAAGTAGACCTCGGCGCACTGTTCTTGGCCACATGAGAGGAGATTGAGTCGGCATCCAAGAAGCTCCTGCAGCTTGCTCAGCGAATGGCGCGGGGCCGAGAGCACACGGCGGAGAAGGGAGAGAGAGAGAGAGAGAGCGAGAGGGAGACCATGATTTCGGTGATGCACCGTTGGTCCGGCATAGAAGGAGAAGGAGAAGAAGGAGAAGGAGAAGGAGAAGGAGAAGGAGAAGGAGAAGGAGAAGGAGAAGGAGAAGGAGAAAGAGAGAGAGAGAGAGAGAGAGAGAGAGAGAGAGGAAGAGAGAGAGGAAGAGAAAGATAATGGGAGAGAGGAAGAGAAAGAGAAAGAGAGAGAGAGAGAGAGGAAAGAGAGAGTTAGAGAGAGAGAGAGAGAGCGGGCAAGGCCCGCAGGTTCGAAAGCGCCCATGATGGCGTCCTTGTACTTGGGAAAGTGTGACCTGGGTGTAACTTTGGGGCTTCAAGTCCGATGCTTGAGGGGCGTAGGAACGGTCCAAAGCAGTCTCTCCGAGTCCTGCAAGAGGAGGGCCCCCAGGATGCGCACATTTGCTCCCCCACAGGGTGGCCCGATGCTGCCCGTGACTGAATGCATACTCTGCGTAGGTCACTTGAAGCTATTTGAAGCTTGAAAACCTGGATTTTTGGAGGTTCCTTTCTGAGCTGTCGTGTCCTGCACTTCGCATCCTTGGAGCTGCCTTCTTGGCTTCTCCTTCGCCGCCTTGGCTTCTTGGAGCCGTCAGAGTCCCCTTTGTCCCTTTGCGCATGGCAACCAATGGCAGTGCAGCCTCTGAAGGGCGTCTGTTTCAAGACTACGCACTGTCTGAGTGATGAGTGAGGGTTGCCTCCCGACGCAATTGACCCCGCCTTCCTTCCGTGCCCTTGCCGACATGTCGTCCACGAGTCCACAGGCTTGGGACACCTCATGAGGCCGTGGACGGCAGGGGAGTTGGCAAGGCCTATGGTGGTGCCCCGGGTATCGCAGACCCGCTCATGGTGTCCAGCTCAGGGGCTTCTCCTCAGTCGGAGTCCTGCTTACATGTTCCTTGTGTAAGGCGCTTCGAAGCATCGGAGGGATCCCGTCCCGATAGCCCGCTGAGAAGAAGAAAGCAAACTTTCTGCGCATGTTCTTCCCTTCTTTCTTGTGTAGTGTACAGGAGGTGATATTTATGCTTGTACGCACAGAAACATTGCATTGTTGTGCTCTGTGCTTTCCCCCCCACCCCCCCCCACCCCCCCCCCCCCCCCCCCCCCCCCCCCCCCCCCCCCCCCCCCCCCCCCCCCCCCCCACCCCACGTGTGCACCCCGCTTTACAACCAGAATCCCTACTTTGCAACCAGAATCCCCGCTTTGCAACCCGTAAGCCTTTCCAGAGCCCCCACTTTGCAACCGCACGGGCAAGCTGCTTGACAGGCAATTATACTTAAAGCGTCAAGACCTGAAACTCCCACCATCACCCTTTAACATGCACGTTTGCAAGTGGTGATGGTTGCAATGCGGGCGTTCTTATGCCAAGAATATAGAATACATGTTACACACGAGATAATATGTGATGTAAAACCAAAAGATGGTAGATAGTGTAAAATGTATGATAGATAAACAGAGAAATATAGTAGAAACCATACAATGTATGATATAACTCATTTCTGCCACTTGCCCCACCTGCTTTCGTTCCTTAGCGGAAACCCTCTTGCCCCACTTGCCCCACTTGCCCTGTCTTAATGGCTAAGCGATTTCTGCCACTTGCCCCGCTTGCCCCACTTGCCCTGCCCACTTTCCAAATTGGTGGTGGGGCGGAGCCGGGGTGGGGGGCGGGGGTGGCCCCAACCAGCCAAGCCCAACCACCCAAGCGTTCTGGGATGTCCAGCGCGGCCACCAGATTGTTGAGCTTGTTTTTGTTTCCTGGATTGGGGCCACAAGTCACAAGTCTGCCTCAAATGCAGCCCGATTTGAGGCAGACTTGTGGGGAATATGGGAGGGAGGTTTGCCCCACTTGCCCCACTTGCCCCAATTGCCCCAGTTGCCCCACTTGCCCCACTTGCCCCACTTGCCCCGCTTGCCCCACTTGCCCCACTTGCCCCACTTGCCCCATTTGCCGCACTTCCCCAAGCTGCAACGATCTCGCCCCCTGCATTCCTGCCAACCTCCAGGCAAGCCGGAGAAGTGGGGCAAGTGGGGCAATACCAACTACAGTAGCTTTTCTGGCCCACCAAGCGGGGCAAGTGGGGCAACACCAAGAAGCTCTTGAGGAAAAGCAAGCGGGGTAAGTGGGGCATGTGGGGCAGATTCACGTAGTGGTCCGTCTGGGCGCTCGCAATCTAATAGCTGATATATAGCCCCTAAACTGCACTAAACGACACACCAACAAGCAGACAGAGAAAGGAAGATAACAAGCAGACAGCAGACAAGGGAATAGTCTCGGGGGCCATTGGCAGGCATCAGTAGGCACCCCTCACTGCAGGGGCCTGATGCTGCCGCAGGTCAGAGAGAGACAGAGAAAGAGACAGAGACAGAGAACAGAGCACAGAGCACAGAGCACAGAGCACAGAGCACAGAGCACAGAGCACAGAGCACAGAGCACAGAGCACAGAGCAGAGAGCACAGAGCACAGAGACGGAGTTGCTTGTCCAGTTGCAAAGTAGGGGTTCTCACGCTGACGAGTTGTAAAGCAGGGGTTCTCATGTCGAACATGGCGTTCGTGGCTGCAAAGTGGTGGGGATTCTGGTTGCAAGGGCGGTTTATCTCCCCCCCCCCACCCCCCCCACCCCCCCCGCCCATCCCCCCCCTCCCCCCCCAAACCCCTTTTTCCCTACGAATCGCGGACCTGGACCCTTCCTCCGCGCGCGCAAGCGTTTACAATTTCTAAGCCCTAAACCCTTGAAACCCTAAACTTCCCTAAGGCTTAAACCTAAGCCCCTAAACCCAAAACCTTAGAACCCCCCCGAACTCTGGACGGTATAGCCTTGGGCCCGAAACCCTAGGCCCTAAATGCCTAGAACTGTAAAACCCTCAAACCCAAAACCCTCAAACCCCCAAGCCTCAAACCCTAAAACCTGAACCAGCCGGCACCCACACCACGCTGGGACGGTGGAGGGGAGTGGAGGGGCGCCTGCCGAGGCGCAACCATGTGTAACTTTTGTATTTGCTGTTGTGGATTGAGCCGCGAGGGCCACACCTTCATCATCACGAACGCGATGAGCGGCTGGGTCGAGTACAGTGCGGCAAAGTGGGTCCGGCACTCAAGAAAAGACATGTTTGTTTTATTTTGTTTTTCATAGATTCATAGAGCATGTGTTTACACGTTTTCGCAGGTGCCAGGCATGCTGGATGTGCTTCAGAGAATTCGGGTCATCTCTGCGCGCCCCGGGCATAGTGAGATGACAGTCTGTCCTTGCCTTGTTTCATTTGATTTCAACAGACATGCGCTACACACCCTCTTGCACCCGCCCAAGGCACAAAGTTCGAGCCTGAATTTCCTGGAGAGGCCGCGATGGCATTTTGCCCTCTTTGCCGTGTGCACAGAAGGTACCACCCGCCCCCACGCCACCCCCACCCTTCACGGCTTGACCGTTGGCCCCACTAAAACAAGTTTCCCTAGCTTGTCTTTGAAGAGGATCTCCGGAATAGTCGTTTGTGCGAGTCCTGCAACTACTCTTCAAAAGAGGTCCTTCGCAAAAGAGGTTCGAACAACATCCTCTTTCGCTTCGTTCATGCTCCCTGTTTCTCAGCACAAACCTAACCGGAGGCCTCCTTTGACCAGGGGGCGAAAAACATCTTGGAACGCTTTTCCCAGATAAGACTCTCGTATGAACGTCGAGGAGCAGCGTCAGTCAGAACAAGCCGGGCGGAGGCAGCAAACGTTTGCAAGAAATCGGTTGGGCCAATCGGAAAGCCAGCAGGCCAGTAAAAAAGACACAAGCCTCAGCGGAAAAACATGTCAGCCACGGTCTTTTGAAAGCCGCCTTCGCTTGCTGCTTTTGGTTTTCATATTGCAGGCTTCGGACGCGAGCAGACCTTTCTTTTTCTGATCCGGCTGCGGTTGCGTTCGACGGTTTGAAGTTTGTTCAGTTTTCTCATTGCGGTTTCTACTTGAGCAATTTTCGACTGACGCCTTCGTTCGGATGGACGCGTTTTGGTTAAGGCCACCATCGGGTGGCAACGCGAAGGGTCAGGGTAAGACCCGGTAAGGGCATGAAGTGCCTTGCTTGTGGCGTGACTGCGCAAAAAACCCTGTACGTTGTAGTCCGTGCTCAGAAGGATCCGTTGGATGACTCTCGTAGGTCGGAAAGTGGAAAGAGAATGCATTCTTGGAGGCCCTGGCTAGGAGCACGGATTTTTGGAGTTGATTCCAAGAACCTGAAGAAGGTGCAGAAACAGTTGGACAACGAGATCATCACGAATTTGATCTCTGTAGGCCCGATCTTCTCCTTTGGACGTGCATGCCATCCCATTCATCCCTTGCTGCCTCTGATTGAGGCGACTCCAACTTCGAGATGGACGCATTGCACGTGATGGGCAAGCAGTTTGCGCAGGAACTTGCGAAGATCTGATCTGACGACCGCTCGCCTCCATGCTCCCCTCTCTCGCGCGGGCCTCGCCTTGGGAGGCCCTGGTGAAAACCATCAAATTCCGGGAGAATCCGTCACCAGAGGAACTTCTGAAGCAGCGACCCGGCGCGAAAGCAGAATGAAAGAAGCTTGACAGACCTCTTTCTCCTTCTTGAAGACCCTTCTCCAGGCTGGAGCTCGTCACGCAAAAGTTTGAGAAGATCGTCGAGAACGCGCGCAACCTGAAGGCACGCTGCCGCTCTCTGCCACAGAGAACACCCACAGCCGTTCCATAGGATCATTCAATTCGGTCAATTCGTGTGCAGATCGGATTGGAAAGAAAATGGGTTGGGAACCCGCACGCCGCAGCCCAAGCCCAGCCCAAGCGTGCAATGCAGTGATCTCCTGGGCGATGATGCTTGTCATGAATGGTCCTGACATGTCTTTCAAGACTTGTGAACCCCTCCTCCGCTGTGAATAGGCTTGATGTTCTGTGGGGGCATCAACTCCGAGCTCCCAAGGCTCCCTTAAGGCTCCCTTAAGGCCTGAAGGCTGCTCCCAAGAGCTTTTTGAGGAGGCTCTCCGGAGCTTCGGGAGCTGTGCTTCTTTCGGTTGTGGAGGGGGACCATTGTCTTGCCTCCCGGGTCGAGTCCGACGCCGCACACTGTGTGTCCACTCGCATGGTCTCACCTTTCACATGGGCTTTTGGTCACCACGCTTTGACACCGGATCGCGCGAGGCATCGCGGTCGATAGCGCCTCTGCCCGCCAGTCGCCTCAAAGCCCTCGAAACCTTTCCAGGGCTTTGGGATGTTTGGCGCATTTCCCCCTCATTGTAACTGCGATGCTTATCTGGGATCATCTCGGTTGCACCCCCCGAAGAAGAGAAAGCGCTCCGTTCCTTGCGTCTCAGGCCTAGGCCGAGGCCATGCTGAAGCGACTCTCACTGGAGAACATGGGATCAGCAGTGAGCGGTGGCCTCAAGTTTCTGCAGGCTGTCAAGATGGCAGCAGATGCAACCGATGCCTCGGCATGGGGCATATGGGGCATACATGCTTTCATCGTGTTTTCCCTGTGTCCGCCCTGGCAAAGAACCTTGACCACTGCATGTCGACTCGTATCGACCATCAGGCGACACCTAAGGACCTAAGGGACCAGAACACCCTGTGCAGACAGTGCGGACTCAATATGCTGAAGCACATTGAAGCACCACTCTTCGGGCCGAGCTCTAGGCGTCGCCTTCCCTCAGCTGCGCGTGTGCGTTAGACATGAGTTGTTGCGGAGCACGCGTGAGTCAAAAAGAATGGGCGCGCTTTACCAGACATTGTTTTGAACATGGCAAGAACCAGATGCCCAGCCTGCCCGGCCTGAAGACTCGTTTGACAATCGCAGAGCCCCGCGGTTGTTATCCAAGTCTCTGTGCAGCCCCTGTTGCGGGGCAGCCGAATGGGAAAGCAAGAGCCGCCAACTGTAAACGCTTGCGCGCGCCGCCTCGGCCGCCTCGGCAGCCGGGCCGGCCCACGGCAAGGGTGCAACGAGAGAAGGTTGCCGCGGGGTGGTCTCAGAAGGTGTCAGACAAGTGTCAGAGGGGTCTCAAGCAGTTTTGGGGGTGTCAGGGGGTCCCAGGCAGGTGTGTCCATGAACTGAAGGGGCTTGAGCTTACAGTGTGCATGCCGTCCCCGCTGTTGGTGCATGCATGTGTGTGGGTGCTCTTGTTGCGCGCGGCAAACCTTTAAGGTAGAAGCCACCAGCAGCATTCAGAACAGTCCTTTGGCAGTATCCCCCCCCTTGAGCTTATCATCTCCCCGCTTGATTCATTGCGAACGCCTCAACAGTCGTGCCCGAGCGGTTTCGGTCCTCATGTTGCGCAGCCGGCTTGGATGGCCTCTGTGCTGTCCTGCATATGCTATTCTTTGAACCCAGCACGAAGACAAGGCCTTAGCAGAGATCCTGAAGTGGCCAGTCGGCCGGTTGTTGGAAGCCGTGGAATGGCAGCTCGGAAAATCCAAAAGCTAAGGATGCATGTTTGCGGGCTGCCGCAGCTTGGGGAAGCCCCCCACACAAACCCCTAACAAATGCAACGCGTTGACAGACGCACGAAGGCGGTAGCCGGATCCCCGTAACGCCGCTCCCCCGATTGCTGGCTTGAGCTGATGTGTAAGCAGCGGTCCGAGCGCATCTAACATTCGCCATGGGCAACACCGAGACAATGTTCGAGGCCTTGGGCAAGTGATGCAAGGGCGGGGGTGCCAGTATCGGATGTTTGGAGTGTTTAAATGTTTGCAATTTCTTGTGCTGTGGCACAATAATCACAATAATGGCATCAATAATCACAACAACAATAATAATAACAAGGACAACAGCAATAGCAACAATAATGAGACAACAGTAGTAGCAAAAACAAGCAGTGACAATAAGTTCCACCTTCCCAACCTTTTCTGTTGCAGGGCGAGGCGCCACCGGATGCGTTGCAGGCACAGCCTCGGATCCGGTCCGTGCGGTTGACATCATTTCTATGGCCATGATTCACAATACTAGCAAGAATAGCAATAGCACTAAAAAGTTACCATTCTCATTGTTATCATTGTTATTCTTGTTGTTATTGTTGTTATTGTTACTGCGGGAACTATTATACTTATTATTACATTTCTCATCCTTACTATTGTTATCAATATTTTCCTATTATTGTTCTTTTATTTCTAGTCATTCTTATTCTGTTTAGTATTGTGATTGTTATCACTGATACTCTTGCTGTTATTATTCTTGTTCTTGTTTTTGTGGTTATTTCGTGGTTGTGATCAGAAAACCTCTGAGCCTGGAATTCGGGTCGGGCGGGGAAGGAGGGGCACGAAATCCAAGACGGTCCAAAATTTGGCGCTCCCGGCGCTACACCATTCAAATCGCGGCTATTTTAGTAGCGCGCGTATGTGTAAAGAAATTCCGCGCGAATTCCGATATACATTTCCATTTAGATAAATTCTATCAGTATTCATAGTGGGAGGGGGATTATTATTAGGGGGGAATGAGTCTTCATACTTTCAGACTCTCTCGCAGGCTCAGCTTTCCATTTCGAACAACATGCAGGCGGATTTTTTGCAAACCCGCATGTCGTCGTGCTTGACATGCTCGGTTGTCAATTTGAAAGACTTCTTGCCCAAGCTTCCAATTCGTCATGCCACCGATGGGCAGAGCTATGAGCTTTGCAACAATTTGGGTGTGACAATCGTGGTTGAGAAGCATTGCAAGTGTCAGCCGTGCGGACGTGTGGATGGGCCTGCAGGGGATTTGGGGTGATGAGTGGGGTTTAGTGTTGCAGGCTCTCCTGGCGGAGAACGAGCGCTTGAAGGCTGGTCGCCAGCCGTTGATTTGGGGTGAAGAGGGGGTTTTACTTTTCAGGGCCTGCTAGGGGAGAGTGTGAATTTTGATGTTGGTCGCTAGCCGTTGACAGCCGGAAGCATCGCACAGTTGTACTGAGGATTACTTGTCTTGCAAGCCAGGCGCAGCTCCGCTGGAGTGCTGGTGCGCTACAACAAGCCAGCCGTCGCCTCGGGGCATCATGCACAGCTTTATGTGCCAAGTGAGCGTCTTTGTGTCAAGATGCATGCTGCGATGCGCTCGAGCGCGGCTCTCAACGAGAAGTCTGAGGGGGGATGAGGGGGGTGAAGAGATCAAGTTGCACTCTGCTGGCCCTTCAGGCTCCAGCTCCGCGCACTCAAGGCCGAGCGCGAGGCCTGCTGAGACACTGGGCCTTTGTTGGGCATCTCCGTCATCTGTTTTTTTTCTTCTGGGGGTATCTGCATCCTTTTTTTAGGGGCATCCGTGTCCTTTTTGTGGTATCTGAGTCGTCTTCTTTGCCGCGGCATGCCGTTTTTCGGGAATTAGCGCGATGGTTGCGATGGCTCACATGGGGGCGGAGGTCACTGTGCCAATGAGGAGTACAAGTCGCGAGCCTTTTGCTCCATCGCTTGGAAGCCCAAGCCTCAGACGACGTTTTCCACTAGCAAGTCTCTGATTAGCCAATTAGACTCAGGAGCCGAGGGTCAGCGATCATGCTGTACTCACAGTACTATGAGCACGTGGAGTTTTACGCCCCGCCACCAGGCACAGGAATGCGTATGCAAATAGCTCGCGGCAGTTGCGAGCACACGTTTCATCACAGGCAAGACCTTGCTGGTCACCAAATGCCACACAGGCGGGGTGTTCTTCTGCAGTGTGGCCTTTGTAAGGCTGGCAATGCACCCGGCAACTCCGCTCTCGCCCAGGTGGGTATCGCCCGTTGGGCTCTTTTGTGGAAAAGAAAGTGGAACTCGATCCTGATGCCGGGGATACGTGCATGATCGCTATGAGCGTGGCCGCAGAACATTGGAATTGTTTGCGGCGCACGGAGGACCGCACAGCCCCACGCAAAGGTTTGATGATGTGTCAGTGCTCTGCATCTCCAGGACGGCTCGGCCTTGGCCCTCTACCCCACCTTGGCTGCGTTGATGGAGCAGCTTAGGGTTCAGGCATGGCATGCAGAGTGCTGCCAAAAATCTCAGAACTTGCACTGTGCGAAAGCTTAACGCGCGAGGACGAGTACGCCCTCAGTCTTGGCACGTACATCGGAGAGCTCGAGTTGGGTTTGGCCAGGCGTAACACTCAGCGTCAGTCGCCATGGATTGTCTGAGCTTCATCGGTAAAATGAGGTACTTGCATGCGCGCACGGGCGCTGTCGGCCGACCTTGAGCTGCATTGAGTGAAAACAGACAGGGATGCTGCGTAGAAGGTCTGCTTGGGGCCACGGTACATGTGTTTTTACGCGTCAGATTCAGCGAACTTGGGGTTAACGCCTAGTCACTACCAGGATCCTTCCGGATCCGTGTCCGGCGCCAGTCCTTCGAGCCGAGGCCCTTACTTCGAAAAGTGAGCGCGGCCTGGACGGCCATCAGGCACTGCCAAGCTGTCCCGATGCTCGGACATATGAACTGGTTGACAAAAGAGCTGGGGCGGCCTAACATATCGGATAAGTACTTCGAAATAAACTCATAACGTTGCGGCTTTCAAACACGAAGCGTTGCTGTCGTGCAGGTCACAGTCGGACGCCACGGAGATGGCAGCCCGTTCACAGAGCTGGGCTGGAGACCACGTCAGTTGCGACTGAGAGTTCCCGTGAAGTGCTCTGCACTGCAACGGACTGCTATTTGATTCGTTTTGCACGCGGTCATCTCCCGAACTCGCGGAACGGCCTTTGGCCCGGTTGACTCATGACCATGGAAGACTCGAAGCAACAGCATTGACGAGATTCTGCGTACTCTTCCGCTGAGCCTAACGATGAGAACTCCAACTCGCAAATGTCCCAATGAAACAGACAACCAGATGCCACACCCTGCTTGCCGCCACTCCGCTTCGTGCCGACGACAGGTCCGAAGGAGATCCAAAGACTTGAAGATAAGGTCCCTGAAGACCCCAAACTACGTCAAACTAATTCCCAGAATGAAGGACAGTGTCAAGGTTCCTCCAAGAAAAAAGGAACCTGAGTGATGCTTGGAACCCCTCGCCGCTGCAGTTGCATGCAAAAAGTCGCAAACGTCGCGTGCGTTGCACAGGGAGCTGACGAGTAGTGCATTCTCTGTTGGGAAACCGTTTGCAACCTCTATTTGTCGGCTATGCCCCGTCCGTATGCCCCGTCCGATCCCTGCCCCTGCAGCTTCAGCTAGCACCCTGCACGCACGAAAAGGAGGCAGTTGTGGGCCACCCCTCTTTTTGGAGACGCGGGCTCATCTCGGCTCAAACGTGAGCCACCATCCATGACTTGTGCCCCAGCCGTTGCTTTTCCAGGTAATGGTGCTCCTTGGGCTGCACGTCGTGCATAGCTACAGAGCGCACGCAGACTTTTCCAGCGTTACGAAGCCACCAAGAAATTTTTGCAAAGGCACGCACTCGACACTTTTGTCCACCATCCTCCACGATCGCCCCTGTGCACGCCAACCAAGTTCTGCAAATACACATGGCAATTGCGCAGGCAAGAGGCCCTGAGATCCAATGGCCAGCGATAGTAAGGCCATCTCCACTAGCAAATTCTCCCATCATCCTTACAGTGACACGGAGGGTGATGGAAAACATACTATGGTGTCTTCTGGCTCGTTCCAAAGTCTCCCCTCACGCTTGCTCCTGCTCTCCTGCTCTCGTTCAGCTTCATGGACATCACGGTGCAAGTGCCCAGCTGCATGCGGTCCAGCAAGACTTCCTGCAGCTTGACACCCCACGCATGGGCATAGTGTCCCGCGTCTCTCCGCTTCAGACAGCTCGCGGCGAAGTCGCCCAGCGCAAAACCGTTCAGGGTCGCCTCGGCGGCGAGATTGCGACAGTCCCAGGCTATGGCTGCCCGCGGTGCTACTATGCAGTGTAGCCAGTATTGACACGCATCTTCTGGACCTGCGCGCCGCACAGCCGTGCTCGCCCGCCCAGAAGCTGAGCAGCAGCGATCAGCTTCTGGCGGTCCCCCCACTGGCTTCGCAATGTGGCGAAGCGCGGCATGCAGCCGCTGCCACTTCTCGCCCCAGCGTCGGCACTCCGGACACGGAGACGGCAACCAGTCCAACGGTCGTTGTGCCTGCTCTTCGGCCCATGGCACCGCAGACAGTCGCCACAAGACATGTTGACGACGATGTCTCCGAAGCCAAAACAGCCCCAACATCCATGCATGACGCCAGAGCCGTTGTATTAGGGGTCGGAGTGCCAGCCCAACCAACAGTGCCAGGCCCAGACTGCGCCGCGCAACGGGTGAGGCCATGTCCTAAAAATCCCATCACCTACAACGAGCCACACTGTAAAGACCCGCAGAAAGTCGCAAGCAGGAAGGAAGTCGCAACGATGGCGTGGATGAGCGTGGCAATTGTCCCAACAGAGTCGTCTACAAGCTTGGCTGTGCGTTCAATTTGTTTTTTCTGTGGAATCGGTCTCCGAGACTCCGTCCTTCCAGCCACATCAGCAGCTCTGCATCGGAAGAGGAGCACGGCTCTCGAAGGATTCCGAAGGCTGCCACGTGTGTAGGATGGTGCTCTACAGAGGGGCCTTAGCTGTGCCGAGGGCACTTGCGGCTGCAGCATGGAAACCTTCGGCCTCCATTGCGCTGCAATTGATTGATGAAGAGTTCTTACGGCGAGTCTACATGTCTCTTTCTGCCAACTTGGTTCGTGTGGGTGTGGCATGTGTTTCTATTTTTGTGCTACTGTTTGCCATGGGCCAATGGGAGCCACAGAAGCGCATGAACGAGTGGCACAGCTGGTGTTCACACCGAGCGTTCACCACAACATGAGGCCAACCAAGGTTCCTCGCACGCGTCACCACTGAGACCTCTTCCAGACACGTTCAACACTTGCAAATCCTTCAACGCCTTCCAGCATCGGACTTCTCAGCTGGAAACTGTCATTTGGGTTGTTCTGAACCCTAAATCAAAAACTCAAGGATTCAAGGCTTTCTTGGATGAGCCGCAGGTCGGCAAGCCGTGGCTGTTTCAGGTTTGACGCTTCAGGTTCGCACCAATCCAGCCCAGGTTCTTGCTTAGAGAGCTTTGCTCAGTAGCTTTCCCCGCTACCTCTGTGGGGGGACGATGCGTTCTGAGCAAATGCGTTTTGAACGCGGAGGGGCCCTTGTTTTGGCATGAGGCGAGACGAGGGCGAGGGCGGAAGCCGTCGCTAAGTACCCCGAAGAAGGAAACACAGCCTTTCTCTCCTCTGCATCCTGGGAGTCCATCCAAGTGGGGGGGATCTGCTTTAGAAGGGGGGGGGGAGCTGCTTTAGAAGGGGGGGGAGCTATTTTTAAGGGGGGGGAGCTGCTTTAAAGGGCGGGGGATGCCTCTGGAGTCCGAGATTGAGAGAAGCAAAAGAGAGCTCGGCTTCCGCCCCGCTCGGCGTTTGTTTTGGAGAGCTCTCTACCTCTTACGGAGGAGGATCGCGCGCCCCGATGTTTGCAAAGCTTCTTTAGACTGCTCTCTTGCATCTGAATCGTAGTTTCGACACTTTCTGGAGATCATCGCTTGCTTCGAGAGTTTGCACCCAGACACCAGGGTCGCTGAATCCGTGTGGGGTGACGGTTGACACGCACAGACGCACACACATGTGTCCCACGCCTCGGCAATCTTTAGTGCCTTTTCTGCTCAGGTCGTCGGTGGCGCATTGTACGATTACGTAGATACACCGTTTGGGGTTTGCTTGCTTCTTCACGTTGATTTGGTGCATGCGGTGGCACAGAGCAAGAAATGGTGCACCCTCCGCAGCCAGTACGGTCCATCTTCTTCAAGTCGTATGCAGGAGTCTCAAGGCATCCACTTGAACTCTGTGTTAGCCTGCATTTGCACGAGCATTTTTTGTCTATTCAGTTCTTGAGAACTTTTGATTTGACCCTTGTTGCAAGCTATGATGCGGCCGTCCCAGTCGGCATCGACGTCAGAATTGCGAGGCGCAGATGCAGCGCCAGTCCAGCTGGATGCCTCGCCCCACGTGCAGAGCAGGGAGGGTCAGCCAATATCACGGATAGCAAGGCAAGACGGCAGGCCACCTGGTGGATTTGTGTTTGACCTGGTGCTGGATCGCTTCTTTTCCGCTTGGCAAGCTGTCAGCAAGGATGGACGTCAGTACAGGCGATCTCGACGTGACACCAGCTCGCGAAAGTGGCTGGGGACGCGATGCTCCACTCGATTCCTGTGGAGGTTGGTTTCGTCACTAAAGTGCTTCGTTGACAAGCCTTTACCGGTGCAGCTGTTTCGAGGGATGAGGTGCCGACACAAGGAAACCCAGAGAGCTGGAACTTTCCTGTCGTGCGGCGAAAGAGGCATCTGCAAGGTATTGTTCGACGGTGACCAGGAGCCTGCTTTTGTTTTGGCAGCGCAGCTCCTCCGAATCCACGTCGCGCCGCACCCCTTCCTGGCTGGGCTGGCCTTCCTGGCTTGGGCCCTGGCTCATGCAGAGAACGAGGACCTGAAGATTGACGGCCTGCGCACGGCGCTCCTGTTCGGCCAGGTCATGGGCAAGCAGGGCAAGGGCAAGACGGGGAAGCCCGGGAAGTCCGGGCAACTCACCATGCTGGCAGTGATGCAGGAGGAGGCCGCGAAAGGTCTGAGGTTCTGCTTCTCCGCCTGGAAGACTTCGACAAGGAAGAGGACCAAGTTCCCAGCTTTCCGCCGTTTGATGGGAGAGGCTTTCCAGGGCTGGCTGGAGGCGCTGCTGCGAAGCCGGAGCGACCGGGCCCAAGAGCTGCTGCAAACCACGCAGGTTGGCGGGGTGGGGGTTCCCTCCTGTGTCCGTGTATCTGCTTCCGTGTGAAAATATATTCGATTCTTCGATCTGTCGGAGAGGCGGACCTGGCTCAGCTGCGGGGCGCCGCGCTGTCCAGGCGTGGCCAAGCTGAAGGGCTCCGAGGCCGCGTCCTCGAGGCCCTCGAGCGGCCACCTGGCTTGAAAAGAGGAGATGAGAGTGAACAGAGGGGGCCAGAGGGGGGGACAATTTAAATCCATTAAGGGCTTAAAGGGGGAAAGGGGGGGGGGTAGAAAGGGAGGCCTTTGGGGTTGTTGTGGTTCGTTTGTGATTGCGCCATTTGCGCCTCCTCCAGGCTTGCGCCGCTCTCGCCGTGGCTCCTGCGCCGGATGCTTTTCGCCTGGAGGTCGTCGTCGCTTCGAGGCCGCCTCATGGCCGAGAGCCGCGCGCAGGCCCGCCGAGCCCTGGCCTTCTCGGCCCTCCAGGTGGCGGAAGCCATGGGGAAGCTCACGGTGAGTTTCCTCCGGCCCCATCTGCAAGCCTGGGCTGCCTGCCTTTGAATCACAGCAGAACACAGCCGGTGTACCGATGCGCCATGATTGGGGTTGCGGGGTGCGGGGCGGGGGGGGGGGGGGGTGGCGGCGAGAGAAGTTGACTTGGGACAGAATTCCACCAGTAGGCTCTTGCCATCGGCAGAAGGAGTGGTGCATCATCTTGGGCTTCGTGCTGCTTCGGGGGCTTGCTGTGTTTTGGGGTGTGGTGCTTGGGGGTACACGGATACACAGCCTTGGGGTTGCCTTGCTTTCATGATGCACGTTGGAAGAGGCAGCTTTGGTGACATCTGTGCGGCTGTGGGGTGCACGGCTTTGGGCTTGTAAACCTTCCGGCTTGGCTTGCAGTGCTTCTTGTGCTTTTTTTGGCTTGTGTTGATTGACTTGGTTTTGCATGTTATTGATGCTGAATGCTGATGATTGCTGATGCTACTCCGCGCTTTGATGGCTTTGATTGCGTTGCAGTTTTGATTGGAAGACGATAAGACGATTGGGAATACCATTGCTTCGCTGCTGTTGAGTTTTCGTTTTTCGGCGGCTTTCTCGCAAGTTCGGCTAGTCTCTCCCTGGTCTCTCCCTAGTCTCTCCTGGCCTCTCCTGGCCTCTCCTGGCCTCTCCAAGTCTCTCCAAGTCTTTCCTAGTCTCCGAGTACCTCGGCTTTTGTCGCTTTGTTTTTTCAAAGCCCCGAGGCTGACCGCGCAAGCCAGGCCCGCAAGCTGCAACGTGCCGCACAAAGCACCCTGAAGGAACTGATGGGGAGCTCGCTTTCGACAGTCTTTCGTGCCTGGAAGCAGATGAAGCTCAGCAGATACCAGACCTTGGTGGCGAAGCTACATCAACGCGAGCGCGAGTACGCCGAGCTCCATGAGCTTTCGGAGTCCTTCTTTCGATGCTCCCGGGAATGTGCCCAGCGCTTGAAACACATGGAGACTGCTGCGCGAGCTGCGGACCGAGCTCTCCAGAAGCTTGGACGAAAGGCACCGATTGGGCTTCGGTCCGTGTCCAACTTGGCCAAAAGGCTTCCAAGGCTTCCGGGTCGCTTCGGCGTATTTCCCGCTCCATCCGCTCCATCCGCTCCTTTCTTTTTTTTGTTTTCTTTTTTGTTTTCTCTCGGCCTTTTTCTCCCCAAGGATTGGCGCCGCCAGGGCCGACTCTTTGGAGGCCGAGGTCCAGGCGCTGCGCCGGGCACTGCACCTTGTCAAAGTGTACCTCGAGAAGTGAAACGACCGCGAGTCAAAAGTTCTGTGGCACATGCCACGGTCTGCCCGCTTAGGCAGGAGCGCGTGGTCGACTCGGGGAGCCTTGGCAACGACTTGAAGGAGCAGATGGAAGAGCGATGAGACTCAGCTCATCTCAGCTCTTCGAAGAGCGTGCCATACGAAGCATTGTGAGGCGTTTGAGAGACGAGAGGCGTTTGAGAGGCGTTTGAGGGGTGCATGAGGCGTCTGGAACTGTGAGGCCAAGAGGAGCTCTTAGCCTTCAGCAGGAGAGCCGCGACATTGGAAGCAGAGTTGGAGGCAAGCCGCGGCATGGAGGCGCAAACCCGTGGCAAACCGGGGCACCGACGCCGAAGTCAAAGCAACAGAGTCTCCAAAGCACCACCTTTCTGCATTTCTGCCGTTCTTTTGAAACTATTTTCGCATTTTTTCGCAGCTGGGCATTGCCAGGTCAAGCTGCGACTTGATGACGCGAAGGACCGTATCAGCGTTGACAGCCGTTGTATTGAGTTGTGCCCCTTTGCAAGCTCTCCGATTCACAATGACTCCCAAATGTGGCTTTTCCCTGTGCTCGTATGAAGACCGAAGCCTGTCATGATGTCTGCTAGGCCAGATTCACAATGACTCGCTCCTTCATCCCTCCTTTGCCCAGGAGGCACCGCCCACAGCGATCACCTCCCGCAAAGCGGCCCTGGCCGAGGCCCAAGCTCTTCGGGAGGCGGCTGCGCGCGCAGAGTACCACGAGGCCAGCGTAAAAGCTGGAATGTGCTACGGGCGTCCTGTTGGAGCTTGGGGAAGTCTGTTTTAGAACGTTTCTGTGGGCTTGCTCCAGGTAGACCTCCTGGAGGCCGCACGGGCTGTGGCTCGCGAAGCTACGGCAGATGCCGCTGCACAGCACAGGGCGCTGAGCTCTCTGATTCGGAAGGCCGTAGAGTTTGGTTGTTCTTTGTTAGAAAGGGTCAGAAAATGAGGGGGCGCAAAAAACGCACGAGAGCCAGAGAGGAGCCAGAGCTGGCGGAGCTGGGCCTCCACATGGAAGAACCCCTCGACCCCGTTTCCGACCGCTCCATGCTGCCTTCGCTGCCTTTGGAGTCCTTCGAAGGGGCCAAAGGCACGGACAAGAACGTCCCAAACATCCCGGACGCGATGGAAAGAAGGAGGGGTGAGAAGGGCGAGCTTGCCGAGGTACCCCTCTCCTCAGCGGGCCGTGCTACACAGACGTCCCTGCCCTGGATGGCCCCGCCCGTGGCCCCGTCCGCTCTTGCCTCCAGTCGGTCCGCGGACCGCCAGCGCAAGTTTGTAAATGCCTGGAAGCCCAGCGGCAAAAACCTTCCTGACACCGCTAATGAGGACGCCATGAGCTTTGATCTGGCCTCCAACATCTTGAGAACCGGCGCCTACTTCAAGAAGAAGGCTGGGCGGCGCTCCTCTGTGACACGCTACTTTTTCGTGGGCGAGCCGAACAGCACACAGGGATTTCTGAAATATTTTCGCGACCACAAGATGGCCCAGACGCCCAGGGGCGGATTTGACCTGGTGGACCTGGTGAGGCGCACTGGGCACTCGCAAAATTCAAAAGGCCTGAAGGCCTTTAGAAAGTGGATGGGTCTGGACGGATACGGCATAGAGTGGTAGCACATGAAACATCTTCAGGCCTTGCGCTGTTTGTTTTCCGACAGTTTGCATGACCAAAAACAGGTTCGAACTTTCTAGATGTCGTGGGCATCACCGACCTTTGCGCAAGGGTTCTAGATATGGGTTTTTTCTTGACTTTGAGTTTAGCCATCGGGGACAGTAGGTTCAGTTAAGTGTTTTTCGACATGACTCGGTGAAGCCGGTAAGGGCCAGCTGGGACGGCCAGCAGCTGAGCGTCACACTGACACAATCAACCAAGACGGACGCTTCGGAGAGGGGCCTGGTGGAGATCCCTCCGAACTTTTTCCAGGCTCTCCTCGTTGCTGTCCACGAAGCGGAGTTCCGGCGCCAGAACCCTGACGACGTTGATGGCTGATGGTCTTTGATGGTCTTGGCAATGGGCTGGATCTGTGATACCGTGCTGACTTTGTGGCGTGCCCTTCGCTACCAGCAAAGAAGGCGGCCGCTCAGAATGCTGCGGGGGTCAGCATGAAAGACAATCTTCTGTAGTACCCGTCTGCACGATGCAGTTGTTGATGTTGCATTCAGAGCTTCAGCGCGGCTGCCGCTCATTTCAAACTCCAGCATATACTGTTGTCCCGAAAGATGCAGAAGTTCTGCCAACTCAAACGTAAGCTCAGGTGCCCGGAGTCGAAGAAGCCTCAAAAAGGTCGTTGAAAAGTTCACACCACATGCGACGTAGGCGAGACATAGGCGACACAACCCTCAGCACAACCCTCAGCACAACCCTCAGCAAAACCCTCAGCACAACGCTCAGCACAACAGAGTCACAGAGCACTGCTTCCAATGCCCTGGCCATGGACTCAGAGCATCTTTCAAACACAGACGGCTCTCGAGTTTTCTCGTTTCTGGAGATGTTGCGGATAATGCACAGGCCTCTCGGGCAAAGCCGCCCGACCCCCTGCATGTGTGACTGGCGGGTTAGCTGCGACCTGAGTCGCCAGGGTGTTTGTTCACCTCGCTGGCTTCACTTGTTGTATCTGCCGGACTCGTGTTCAGAGTGAGACGGCATAATGAGTCATGAGTGGTACCTTCAAGGTCCGACTTGGGGAAGCAACAGAGGCCAGAAGCCGGGAACGAGTCAAGATGCAGATGCGAGATCAGCGCCACTAAGGCCTGTGAGGCCTTCCGGGCTATGGAGGACCCCGAGGGTTCTCAACACCTCTTTCTTAGAGTATGTGAAGTACGTGACGTATGTGCCACATTGTGACGCAGCTCCCAGGGATCTCAGGGATCCCAGGATCCCAAACAGGGGTCCCGGCTTCAAGTGCCGCGGCCTCGGACTGAATTGAGAGGTGGCCCCTCCAAGTGCTTCAGTCGACGTGCTTCACCCCAAGCCCTGTGCTTGGAGCTCTTTGTGGTGGCAGCATACGGCCCGCTTTCGTGGCACTTGCGTGGCACGCTCGAGGTCCAAGAGCCGGGTTTTCAAGAGCTCAAGCCATCTCGACCTCCAGTCGAAGAGGAATGAGGACGCCCCCCACCTGTGTGTGCGTGGACTAAAGTTCACTCAAAAATCTCGTCTTGCTGAGAGGAGGAGAAGGCCAACAAGCCGAAGACGCCCAAGACCCCAAAGACTCCGAAGACGCCGGGCTCCAGAGATGCCATGCAAGCAACCCAGTTTGCAGGAGCCCAAGAGAGTTCAAGTTCCGTTTGTTGTTTGTTTGTTTTCTCTTTTTGTTTTTGCTTTTCCGTTCTGCTGAAGACGCAACTACCCTGAGATGGTGTGTTTTCTCCGGGGATGGAACCGAGCGGAGGCCAAGCAGCGCATCGCAGCCATCAAGCGGTTCCTGCCGACCCCGGTGTCCGCACAGAAGGCGCCGGTGGAGCCAACGAATTCTTCCGTGTTGCTCCGCTGGAAGTCCGGTTGTCATGCAGCGAGTCGGAGGCTGCCAAGGAGGCTCTTGAAGCCGATGATCAGGTGGCGGAGCTGATTGCGCATCCTAAGTCAAAGCTTGTCAAAAACCTTCGCAATGCGCACAATGCACAGCTTGCATCCGCCATGATGAGAGGATCCTTCGGATGAACCGGCCAGGAACTCACAACATCCGTTCGTTCACTTATTGCAGTGCTCAGAGGCAGATGGTCGCGCGACTGTGCTGACTTTGTGCCAGGGTCGGCCACCGGTGCCGCAGCCTGACCCGGACCGAACCTCGACATTGCCCGGATACCCACGCGCTGTGAGCGATGCTGTGCGACGCTGTCGTTCTGTTCGTGTTTTGACTTGTTTTGCTTTTTCTTTGTTTGTTTAATGCTGTGCTGAGGCTCAAAGCCATGGAGCAGAACCCGATCTTCGAGGGCTGCGCTCCCGAGCTACTCGAGGCGCCTCTTCTCTTTAACTCTTTGAGAATGCAGAACTTGTGCACCTCCTTGCGGCTCTCATTCATCTGACTGGAGGTCCTCCTGCGAGAGTCCAAGCGCAAGCGCTTGGCACCGGGCGAGGCGCGGAGAGTGCAGAGAGTGCAGGCAGAGCTGCTTTGGCTCTTGCGAGAAGCCCCGAGAGGTTTTGAAGCTGACGGACTGTGGGCCCTTGTACCTGGTGGAGACGGGCGCGGTGCGCTTCCAGGCGGTTGGTCCAAGCTCTGCTCCGCTTGCCCCGCTTGCCCCGCTTGCCCCGCTTGCTCCGCTTGCTCCGCTTGCTCCGCTTGCTCAGCATCAACTGCTGGTAGCACAGCTCCAATCAGGTGGGGGACGAGAAGCAGACGTCCATACAGGGCCGCAGGACTCAGGAGATGTCACAGGCGAGAGCTCGCGCCTGTTTGTGCCTTTGTGTTGTGTTGGTGAATGCGAATATGTGTGTATGTGTGTGCCGTTGATAGAACGGCATCCTGTGGTTACCGTCACAGAAACTTTGAATTTATCCTTCGTGTTGGATCATCACATCGCTGCCAGCGAAGAACCCCCAACTTTCTTTGGTAGTGCACTGGGAGATGCCCCCATAATCCCATTGTGCGTCTGCGGTAGCTTGGACTGACAAAGGACTGGATCCTCGCTGTGGTATGTTGTAGTCTTCTTTGCGGCTATGTGTACGCTATAAGGATGCAACGGATTTTGCGGCGGCAGTATGGACGTTGTTGTAATGACAGTCGGCTTGCCCTGACATGCGCTTGAACCTGCCAAAGCCCAGCATGAAGACTTGTCATGGTAGCCATCTTGGACTGACATGTACTTGGTCATCATGGCTCCTTCTGATGACAACCAGCATCTGCAGTGACACATGCGTGATCACACGGAACTCTGACAGGGAAGACAAGCTCTGTGTGTGTGTGTGCTTGCGTCTGACACTCTGCTGAGGCCGGGGCCTCTTTGTCAACGGCACCGGCTTCCTGCGACTGCTCGCCGAGGAGCGCGCTCTTTCCCACTCAGCTAAGGAATGTAGAAGTTGTAGCAGCATTGTAGCAGGGAGGCTTCCTTGGCAGGCCAAGGTCTTCAAGCAGCGGCTTGGAGCGAGCGGTGTAGCTTTACGGCCAAAGACAGGGCCTCAGGAGGGCCACTCCTTCTGGGCATCTGCTATCTCCAAGACATCTCTGACAAGCCTGCTGCCTCAGGGCAGCCCGACAGCAAGGCTATGATGTGCACGGCCCGAATCCCAGCCAACAGGCAGTTGCGAGGGAAGACATCTCCCAGCTGGGCTCAGGATACGGTGGCTTGCCGCCTGCTATCTACCTGGACTTCCGTGGTCCACCACAGCAACCGGAGGAACCGGAGATAACCGGAGACAACCGGAGATAACCGGAGATAACCGGAGGACCGGAGGGCACGGGTGTGCCGAGCTGTGCAGCCTGCAGGAGTACAGTGGCCCAGATGATGTGACCATGGCCTTCTTCAACACATGCTTCGTGCCCAGGGTTGCCAAGTGAAAGCATATTAAAGCTCTCCAATGTCCCAGACCTTCAAGCCCTCTCTTTGTTGCGACTAAGGCCCGTACTCCTGCAGGATGAGCTCGGATCCTCCGATTGTACAGGGCTGGCTTAGCTTGGAAACGCCGGCACGGGTTGAAGAGCTCTGCACCGATCTCTGCCAGTACTCTACGCAGCCTTTAGCACAGCATCATATTCGAATCACATTGCATCATGTCGCATCATTTCGCATCATTTCGCATCATTTTGCGTTGCGCTGCCAGACCGTCAGTGGAGCTGCTGCCGGTGAACAACCTGCCAAGGCTCTCACCAGAACTGCTGATGCTTGGAGCTGCCTCTCTGTACGTAGGCTCTCAGCAAGATGGTTTCAGCAATTTCAGCATGTCGCAAAGGGTCTCTGCTTCGCACGTGGCATGTTCAGGCGGGTGCTGCCCTGCCGGGCGGTGGAGCCACAGTCTGCGGCTCAGGGCCCTGTCATGAAGAGAGGCTGCCTGCACGTTACAAACCTGTGTTGCAGGTGCTGGCGTTACCGTTCTGCCCTCGTCCGTTGTGAGGACTTTGGCTGGCACTCGTTGTATGAAGCTGCATGGGTGCCTTAGGCCTCTGCAGAAGATTCAAGACATGCTTGATCGGAAGATGGGGGAGGCGCATGAGCATCCCCACTCCAAACCATTCTGAGTGATTATCTGTCCATGACACATGTCTCTCCTCTCTCTCTCTCTCACTTCTCTCTCTTCTCTCTCTCTCTCTCTCCGCTCTCTCTCTGCTCTCTCTCTTCACTCTCTCCTCTCTCTCTCCCACTCGCAACTCTCTCTCTCTCTCTCTCTCCTTTTGTCTGTTCTCCCCCTCTCCACCCTCTCCTCCTCCCTCTCCTCACCTCCTCTCCTCTTCTCCTCTTCTCCTCCCTGTCCTCCTCTCCTCTCCTCCTCCCTCTTCTCCTCCTCTTCCTCTTCCCTCTCCTCCTCACTCTCCCACTCCCTCTCCCTCTCCTCCCTCTTCCTCTCTCCCCCTCCCTCCTGCCCGACTCTCTCTCCCTCTCTCTCTCTCCTTGTCTCTGCCGCCACACTGCGCAAGGCCGAGGTTACACTGAAGATGCTCGGCAACTTCGGCCTGAACTGCCTCTTGGCCGATGAAAGTCCGTACGAGTGTGTGCGAGTGTGTAGGGCCTTTCGGTGTGTGTGAGAGCTCCAGCACCAACCAAAAGAGGATAGATGGCACCATAACAGGGGGAGAGTGCCATACAAAGGAGACTGTCAGAGAACAGAACAGGAGAGTTTTCTGCTCAGCCCCTCTCGCGTTTGCCACCATTTGTTTTCACTAGCTTCTCTGCTACGCCTCTTTATTACAGAAACGTCTGGCTTTCTACATTGACCCACGAATTCGGGATTCTCAGTTTGGATTTAGGCGGGGCCGCTCAGCAGCGCAACCTATACATATTCTTCGACGATTGATTGAAACTCACGAACGGCAAGTCTCGCCGTTGCATGTTCTTTTTCTGGACTGGTCCAAGGCCTTTGATTCTCTTTCTTTTGCTGCGATTGAGCAGTCTTTGGTGAGGCTTGGCGTCCCTGACCCCTTTGTACGGGCTGTAATGTCCATCTACCAGTCGCCGCAGTTTCGAGTTCGTGACTCGGGCTGCATATCGCAGCAGGGCTCGCAGTCGCGTGGCGTGCGCCAGGGGTGTCCTCTCTCACCTTATCTTTTTGATGTTGTGCTCACGTGCTTGTTCCACGATGTCGAGTGTTCTTACGAGCGCCAGTTTGGGGTACTTACAGGTGTTCTTAATATCCCTTCGCGCCTTTGGGACCTCGAGTATGCCGATGATACAGTTCTGCTCTCACGTTCATCTCTTCAACTCACGCGGCTTCTGCATCCTTTACAGCATCATGCTTTGCAGTTTGGTCTGCAGCTCAATCTCGATAAATGCAAGCACTTGCAGCTTCACTCGGAAAACCGCGTTTCTTATGCCCCCGATCCGGGTGCCGATTGTAACTGCAGTTGTTGCAACGGCGGGCGCCGTGCAGCGACAGAGTACGTTCCGATAGCGGAGGAGGTGAAATATTTAGGCATATTTCTTGATGCTACCTGCAACAGTAGGAGTACCACCAGTAAAAGGATTCCAGGGCAGTACACGCTTCCAAGCTGCTAAAGCCTTTCTTCACGCATGCTGGCCTCCCGACAAAATGGAAGCTCACCGTGTACAAGTCTATCATTCTGTCAATTTTGGCATATGGCATGGAATCATGTTGTCTTGCACCCTCTCAGCAAGGCAGAGTTGACTCTCTTCACTTTAAAAATTTGCGTAGGATTTGTCGCGTGAAGTCTTCTTATTATCATCGGGTTTTACAACCGTCGGAGGCTCCTTGTTCCAATGAATACTTGTCGGAACGTGCAAATGCCTTCACAGTACTTCCCACTCCGTCGCAGCAGTTCTCTTTTAACAGGCTAAAGCTTCTTGGCCACATTCTCCGTCACCCTGATACATATGAGGTGACCAGTACTTTTATGCAGTCGAAAGCGTATCGCTTCATCAGCGGAGGGAACAGATCGGGTCGGCCCAGCTTGCACTGGGCGGAAGTTGCTATGACCGAAGCGTATATGCGGCTACAACATGCAGATACGGATAAGACCCCGGCAGTGGCTGAGATTCACCACCCCTACTGGAGTATCCCGTCGCAACAGTTGGTGAAACAGATGCATTCCGCGAGCAGTCTCCCCGGTATGGACAACACTAGGCTCTTCAGACGAATCAACCCAGTCGCTCAAGATAGACATCTCTGGCAACAGATTACCAAACCTACAAGACAAGTTCGCTGATGCTGCTTTGGTTGATGGGCAAACACCGCTTGCCTTGCACTTGAAAAAAAAACAAGCTTCTCTGCTCGGTGCTCGGTCTCAGGCGAGGAGGTGAGCTTGACTTGGAATGCCGACTCCCCAGTTCGCAGGATCGCTTACAGTCTCTCCCCACAATGACCAAAAATGCCAGGAGCTGATGAGCAGGTTCATCATGACTGTGTTTCCGGGCGCGCCGTTCGAGGCTCTGTTGAATGTCCTGTTTCGCAGAGTTAACGGCTTCAGCTCGGCTTCAGCTGCGGGGCTGCCAGGCTGTTTACATGCTCGCAGAGAGCGGGAAGCGCTGTCAAGTCCCGAAGGGCTCGAATGTGGTGGTCGAGGGTGAGACTGGAGAGGACCAGTAGGGCCTCAGTAGGGACTAGGGATTCACTTGCTGCTGTGTTGGTTTCTGCCAAGGCCCAGTCACTAGGTTGCTTGGTTGAGGCAGCGTCGAGTGATCTCCTTGTCCCCTCCGTCAAGAAAAGGGTTTGCCAGAAGCGCTTCTGCAAGCTCCAAACTGCGATGTTGATGTCGGTCTGCATCTTGGAAGAGGCCATGCACGCGCACCGAAGCTGGCTTACCCAAGGCAGAACGGCACTGTGTCTTGCAGAGCCCCGGCTTCGGGCCAAGCGCACCTCCTTCCTGTAGCTTGCTTCAGCCCTCACCTAAGTTTGTGTTCTCTCTGGGAGGTGTCCCACCATCCATGTCCTCTTCGCTTTGTCGTTAGTTGGCCCACACACTAGTCCAGCAGACTCGAGCAAGGAATAGCAAACAGGTGGGTATCCTGGTGAGTACTGCAACTGGCGTGGCCCAGCATCATGATGATGAACAGCAGTCGCCGCTTCAACACGCAAGGTTTTGAGCGTTGGAGTGGGGAATTTGAGCATGAGGTCAACATCCTTAATTTTCGATACGCTCTGCTTTCTGAATGACATTGGATCAGAAACTGCAGGACGCAGATGCATTGGTCCTCATTGTGAACGGGGTTGCATCCGTGCTGAAGAAGGCAAGGCCCTCAGGCACGCGGTTCTTAGACTCCACCTGATCTTGCGACGAGGTGCAGGAGGTGGACGGCACAGCTGAACAACAGGTCCGCGACTATGCGAGGTTTTTATTTCAGGAAGGGCCGTGGCTGGTCTTTGTGTTTTTTCACAACTTGGCGGAGGTGGTGGGACGTCTTCGGGCCGGCGCCATCATCGGCGACGTCAGCCGCTCGCCATGCAAAACAACAATCGAGAGTGCGACCTCTGCGGCTGGATCCTTTCCTCGAAGCCACCTAATCTCCTCAATCTGAAGGGGGGCACTGGGCTCTCGATTCCCGATAGCCTTGGAGGCTTGATTGGTGCCTTGGTGCCCCGGCCCGCCACTGTCCGCGCCAAGACGGATGTGGAGGTTTTCAGATGCGCTTGTGAGAAAGTCCGAAAGAGGAGACACGGAGCAAGGAGAGAGCAGAGCACGGGCTGAGTTAGAGCAGACTCCCTCCCACAATTGCCACCTTTCCTCATGTTCCACCTCTCCCCCCAAAGCAAACATCTCTCGCCTCTTTTCATTCTCCTTGTCTCTCTGCAGAGGCCGTCGTGCTTCCCGGCCGCGCCATTCTGAACGTTCTGGCTCTGTGCTGAGATGCAAAGAACACATAGAGAACACCTCGTCTCAGAGAGGTGGGATTCCCCGGGGTGGGCTCAGGGGGCTGCACTTGTCCATACGGCACCTACAGGGAGAAAGGTTTGAAGGCTTGCAAGGAGTGGTAGTCGCTTGACAGGAAGGGGGGAACAGCGAAAGGGGCGGAGGCTACATATGGCATCGTATGGATACGTTGAAGAGCAAGGCAAAATGCTGTGGCTTTGGCGTTGCGCGTTGTGTCATGCAGTTTGCAGGAAATATCAGGTTCATGTTAGATCCCACGCCTTTCAGTTCCACTCCACTTAGGCGGTGTTTCCGGCATTGCTACATCCCGCGACAGACAGGCTGGTGGACGTGGCGGAGTGCATAAAGGACCGGAGAGAGCCTGGGGAGATTTCGCTGAAAGTGCAATGGTGTCCCACAAAAGCACAAGCGAGAGCACGAGAGCCATCGGCCATAGGCGAGCGGGATTCGGAACCCGACCACCTGCCCGCAAAACAAAGTGCGAGACAGCGAGCCGCCCGAATCTTCAAGGCATACTCTAAGACTCTGGGATTCTTTGTAAGATTCAGGATTGAGCATCGCTGAACAGACATTGCAGAAACCCTCCCGAGAGAGCTCCCTCTTCAAGTATATGCTCCTGGAAATTTGCTGTACCTTGCATCGCATGTATCGCCACGCGAGGAGCGGCTCCTTACGAAGACGGAAGTGGCAAGCTCGCGCAGTCCTCAGAGCGTCCCAACGTGCTGATAAAGGTGCGCAGATCACAGGGACTGGCGCGTTGTTTCGGAGGCCTCGTGTGGAGGCTGTGAGACATTCCTCCTGAGTTACTTGCGAGGCTGAACTTGTTCTTTGGCTGCGATTTGGGATTCGTCAACGATGTCGCCAGCAGCGGGGAGTGGTCCTCAGACTGAGGCCAAAGAGAGCTCTCAGCTCTCATATCACTCATATCACTCTCTCAGTTCTTATCAAGGTCCGCATATGTTGCAAGGAGCGGCGCCTGCTCTTTGCCGGCGAGACCGTGGTGCAGCAAGGCGGCACAGTGTGAGACCAAGTATCTTTCGCAACCTTCTGCATCGCGGGGATGCCGGATTCCCAGCAAAGAGCACGGTGAATAAGTGTAGCACTAGTGTAGCCGAGGAAGGGACTCTTTTTGTCCTCGAGCATGGCCGCGTGAGCATCCAGGACTGTGCTCCCGAAGCCGATAGATGCCTGTCAGGATATCGATCCTCGTGCCTTGTGTGTGTGTGTGTGTGTGTGTGTGTGTCCGCTGGCAGGTTGCGGGGCTTGGAGCCGTGAACGAAGTACCAGCTGGAAACTGCTTCGGTGTCTCCTCCTCGGTGCGATCTGTGCACAGACTCGAAGGATCGAAGGCATAGAAGTTACTATCCGGCCTGAAAAAACTCATCTCAGGACACACTGTTTCTCGTCCCCTGACATCGGAACCCTGCGCAGAAACCAAGGAGCGCACGTTGCTGGGAATCGCCAAGGAGGCCAATGCCACCGTCCGCGCCAGCCACCTAGTCGGCTCTCCTGTCGGCTCTCGACATTCGGCTCAGCATCTGCTCGGAGTCTCGGAGGGGCCTGGGCAGCCTGGGCCGCAAGCGCTATTCAGGGCTCGCATGTGACCAACTGACCATTGCAGGTGTTCACACCGTTTGCGCTGGTCCTGGCAATCGGAAGGCCCCTTCTGCAGGGTTGGCCAAAGGCTTCCTTTTCGAAGGTTTAGAAAATGACAAAACACAGATATTATTTTACATAATTTCACAGGTTTGGCCACAGGCTTCCTTGAAGAAGGGTTTGGAAACAACAAAATATAGCTGACATTGTTTGTATTCCCCTACCTGCAGCGTTTCTGGATCTTTGTGATTGTGCCCAAACTTCCAGGCCAGCCCCTCGGCAGCTCTAGGGGGTCAAGGGCGTTTAAACCAAAGTTTTTGGGTTTTGAGGCTTCAAGGAGGAGTATTGGGGTTTTGACGTTGTTTCCAAGGCTTCCAGGATTTTCGAAAATTATGTTTCTGGGGTTGGGGGTCGCACGGCTGAGCTAACGCTCCGGCTGCAGCCTTCAGGGTTTGGGGGGGCATGGGGCGGTGTCTCGAGGTTGGGCATTGTGTGGTTGAAGCTAACGCTCCGGCTGCAGACGTGACTTATGTTAATTACGACTTGATTGAACCAATTAAATTGGCTCTTAGACAAATTGAATGATGTGAGAAGTCAGTTTAAAGCCAATCTGACTGATGTCAATTTGAGGCCAGTTTGAGGTTAAAATTGAGGCCAATTTGAGGTTAATTTGAAGTCAATTTAAGCTCATTTTAAGCCCAATTAAACAAAACATATTTAGACCAATCTTCTTCTTGGACATAGAGAGACATGCTGCCTGGAATTACGCCCCTGCTGTTCTGGACACAGACTCTGCTGATTACCAACTTCTAGCCCTGGCCAGCTGGTGAACTCCCTTGAGAGGCATTTCGGCCCGAAATATTTGCCTGTAGAGTTTGCAGCCAATCTGCCACATGGCTGGAGCGCCATCAATTTAGATAGGCATTTTGGGCCAAAGTCCTTATCTAGGGTCTTGGGGTGGGAGCTAGAACACAGATCCCTGGATCATGTTTAAATGCAATCTATGTAGTGCAGGGATACCACCTATCTGGGCTGAGGCTACGCACCCAACCTTACAGATAAGCATTTCCAGCCAAAATGCCTATCAAGGCTGCTAGGTGAAGAGGTATTCTGTACATCAGTACTTTGGGTGACCCATCTTAAGTCAATGAATGGATCTGCCAACCTGGCAGCAAAATCTACAGATAAGGATTTCGGGCCGAAATGCCTATCAAGGGAATTCGCCAGCTGGCCAGGGCTAGAAGTTTGTGAGAAGCAGTTGACTCAGACTCTCTGTGTCCAGAACAGCAGATGGCTCAATTCCAGGCAGCATGTCTCTCTATGTCCAAGAAGAAGAACATTGACAGCTCGTCCAACAGAGAAGCTAATCTACCTGTCGCTTCAAGTCCTCAATGCTTGGGCTACTAACCACTATGCTCTAAATAAGTTTTGTTTGATTGGGCTTAAAATGAGCTTAAATTGACTTCAAATTGACCTAAGTTTAACTTCAAATGAACCTCGAATTGGCGTTAAATGAAACCTTAAATTGCCACCGCAAAATACTCAATTTGTTTGAGAGCCAAGTTAATTGGTTTGATCAAAGCTTAATTAGTTTCACTTCTGAGCGTCAGCTCCAGCCCCACAGTGCCCAACCTCGAGACACCGCCCCAAGCCCCCCCAAGCCCTGAAGGCTGCAGCCGGAGCGTTAGCTCCAGCCGTGCGACCCCCAACCCCAGAAACATAATTGTCGAAAATCCTGGAAGCCTTGGAAACAACGTCAAAACCCCAATACTCCTGATGCCTCAAAGCCTCAGAACCCAAAAACTTTGGTTTAAACGCCCTTGACCCCCCAGAGCTGCCGAGGGGCTGGCCTGGAAGTTTGGGCACACTCACGAAGATCCATGCTTTTGGCTGTATGATGTCATTTTCTATTGTTTCTTTTGGCCAGCCCTGTTCTGCCGTATTCTACAGCGCACTACGTCTGCGGCCACGAAAAGTCTTTACAATCTCCAAGGTTTGGAATGGATTCCAGGGGATCTCATATGATGCCCATCTGATGCCCCATCTGATGCCTGGGGTTGATCCAGCAACATGCCCCGCCGTCCTCAGAAGTAGGAGTTGTCTCGATCCGTGCCTGAGCCTGAGCTGGTAGGGACGCGAGGGCAACGGAGCGTGCAACCCCCCCCCCCTTCTTTCTTGCGGCTTTGCTTATGGCTTATGCTCTTTGCTTACGCTCTTTGCTTGCGCTCTTTGCTTCTTCTTGCTGTTGCTTCTGCTGCTGTTGCTTTGCTGGCTGTTGCTTTGCTTGCTGTTGCTTCTCGCAGGCCTTCGCTGCACAAAGCTCTCAAGAAGCACCCGGTCGAGACGGTGTCGGGCCTCGGAGCGGAAAAGCGATCGCCCGTAAGTGCTTATGAAAAGACAAAAAAGAGAGATACAGGTGGCCACTTCGGTGGTCATGCGTGCTGGAAGGAAGGATGGAAGTCTGGAAGCATGATGAAGGATGATGAAGGATGATGAAGGATGGAAGCGGAAGGATGAGAGCGAGCGAGTGACCAGCGAGTGCAAACGCGCATCGCAAACGGGTGAAGGTCTCCTCGGCACTCCCATGCCCATCAGGAAAACAGAAGGCAGGAGAAGAACAAGGAATGAGAGAGAGAGTGGCTTCTGTGCGGGGCGAAGCTCGCAAAGAGCGAGTGCGAGGAAGGTGGCCCTTCGCAGTGCATACAAAGACATGAGAGGGGAATGGAGAAGAGAAGGCCCTTAAGCCGCAAGAAGCAGAAGAAGGAGGAGGAAGAAGAAGACCAACAAGCACAAACGAGGAGAGAGCGAGAACCAGCAGATCTGAGGAGCACTTCGAGAAGCTGAAGACGTCCCCGCAGGGTGGGCGGATCTCGGGAAGCAAGGCCTGTGCCATTCCGTCTCCTCTTCCCTCTCTGTCCAATGTTTTGGAAGCGTCGTCTCTCTTTGATATGACAGGTCCGGCACGTGGAGCTGTTCCGTGCTTGCGGGTGGGCCAAGGGGCGCAACAAAAGCCATGAAGCGTCTCAATCGAGTCAAATCGAGTCCTTTGCTTTGTTTGTTTCCGAGACGTCCCTGCGGCAGGACAGGCTTTCTCGAAGCCTTGAATGCCCGCGTGACCTCTGCGATGTACCTGCGCCTTGCCCGAGATCCTTCGAGCACAATGAGCAGAGGCCCCAGAGTCCCAGAGCTTCCAAGAGCTTCCGTTGCCGAAGGCACGGCCAGACCATCGTCGTGGAGGGTTGCATCGAGCAGGATCCTTGCATGTTCGTGTTGTCAGGCGGGGGACAGTCGATCAGTCGGTGAGAGCTTAGGAGCCTAAGGCGGCTTCTGACGCCGAGTAGAGTAGGGAAGTTACGGGTAGCAAGGTGGCATTGTCGTTGCAGAGCGCGGGGGCTGTGCCATCGCACGGATTTCGCCTGGGGCAACGTTTGGAGAGCCTGACCCCCGGATGCAACGGACCCCAACGCACGCCAACCATCCAGTCCATTTTTTTTGCTGGCCCAAGGCTGGCGATGTTGGGCCAATCGCCTGCCGCACCCTCAGCGCTGTGCGGTGGTGCACGCTCTGAGGATAGTTGTGGAAGTATTGTGCATGCTCACCTGGCCAAGGAGCGTGCTGTCACTATCCGAGCCGTGACTCTGCAGCATTTGGCAGGGATGGTGCGTGTTTGGGCCTTGGCCGCCCTTGGCCGGCCTTGGCCGCGATGAGCTTAGCAGGTGACCCTCTGCTTCTTGATGAGCATCCAGTCGTCAGTATTTCATCAGGCTTGAGTGGAATGACGTCTTGTGCGTTCAGAATGTCTGCAGCCTTGCTGTATCGTTCTTTCGCTGCAGCTGTCGGATGTGTGCCAGGCCCTGGAGCAGTTCCCAGAGGAAAAGGCTTCTCGGACAGCATGAAGCAAAAAGTGAAGTCCAGTCACGCCCGTGACTCCCAGCGGCTCCCAGTCGCTCCCAGTGACCCCAGTGCTGTTCTGTGAGGAGCGCTTCAGCAACGACAGCCTGGAGGGGCAGAAGGAAGGGCCCAGAGTGGTGTGGCCTTGCCTGAGAGGACAGCAGCACACGGGCACAACGGGTGTAATCCCTCTCGTCTCGCAATTCCTCTCAACCTCTCTTCTTCAGGTTCCTTTGCGTTCCTTTGCAGTCGTCTTTTTTCATCCCATCGGTCCCATCAGAGGAGAGTCTTCGCGCCTGCTGTACCTGTTGGATCTCTATGCAGAGAAGTTGTCCTGAGCTGGACTCAGTTTTGCGAGACTCCTCTATGATTCTATGATTGCTGAGTGCTTTGCTCGCGCTCTCTCTCTCTCTCTCTCTCTCTCTCTCTCTCTCTCTCTTTCTCAGGCGAGATGGGTGACCGGCGCCTTGGCCAGGCACCCCTGAACGAGGTGCCGTTTTTTATTCTCGTTTCTCTCTCTATTCTTTCTCCGTTTCTGTTGTTCTTTCTTTCTTTTGTTTCTTTCTTTCTGTTTTTTTTTGTGCTCTTTCTCTCTCTCTCTCTCTCTTTCTTGTCCCGGGTCGAGCGCCACTCTCGGGGAGGCCGCAATCTTGATTCTGGATGGAGAAGTTTCGGTGCTGACGCGAGAAGGCCAATGTGGCTGAGGGTAGGAACGTGTGTCGAGAGATGTCGTGGCGGATGCGACTCGCTGGCAGGGGAGGAGCTCCAAGTTCTTACTGCGGGCTGCTGCTGGAACGAGCGCGTGCTCATCCCCTCTCACTGGAAGTTCTGTGTGTTTCTGCGTTCTTTGTATGTTCTTTGTGTCCTTGCCCAAGTCCGACCTGCTCGGGTGCAGATCCTGGCTGGGGCCAGAGCCAAGCAGACGGAGCGTCTGGTTCCCATCACACCCTGTGAGGCACTGCAATTCTGGAGCTGCTTTCATGTCGATTCCTTTCGATTCCTTCTCTGACCCTTCACAACGGGCTCTGGAGAGGTGCGCATCGTGACGCGGGAGACCTGGGGCAAGGTCATGGCCGAGTTCCCCAGTGATCTGGGCAAAGTGCGGGGCTCCATTCTCCGTTACATGGGCGAGCAGGCCGGGCTGTGAGACGAATAGTGTTTTCCCATGTATGCTGCGTCCATGCTGCGTCGCTGCGCATTCTCCTTCTTCAGGCGGAGAAGCGCCTGGGCTACCCGCAACGGGCTTACAAGTAGATTCTGCAGCGAAGCTATCCATTACCGAGTTCTGTATTGTCGCTCTGTCTACTTGTCAACGTGTATATTCGATAGGAGACATGTCACACGATGTGAGAGTTTTGCGGGTGGGGGCCAGAGACCACAGGCCAGGGTCGCCGGCTCTGCTGCAAGAAAAAACGGCATTCTTCTCGGCTGCCGGGACCCAGTGATTGTACAGGGGGAACAGCGGGGGGGGGTCCACTGAGAGTGCAGAGTGAAGCCAACTTGGGCACTGAGGTCTCGCCGGAATTTGCCAGACTGGCACGGGAGATGGCTGAGACGAGGACGATGTGACTGCTCCATCGTGGGATCCCTCTAGAGGTCCAAAGGGACGGAAAAGCAGCTCCCAGCAGAGCAGATACTGGGACTCCTGGACCCCCTGATGGTATTGGCCCTAGCAAATGCCCGAAAGCGCCACCCCAACGCGTGCGAGGATTGTGGAGCCTGGCTGCGACATAGTGTTGGGGACCCAGGGTTGGAAAAGAGGAGGGAAGAGAAGACGTAGAAGGAGGAGAGAAAGAGAATGAGGATACTCACGCTTCGGCAGTAGGGTCAGTAGGGACCTACATGTCGGACCATGTTGTCTCGTCTCAGTGTAGAACCATCACGCAACGGACTCAAGATGCGATTCACGTACTAGCGTAGCAACGTCTCCAGTTTGGCACTGGACGGAGTTGCTGGCGCTGCCAGGCCGGAGTCCTTGGTGAACGAGGTGGTCGCATGCCGACATCCGGAGGAGGAGTCGGCGGCCTCGACGCCATCGAGGAGTTTGAGGCTGGAGAAGTTCCAGCTGCTAGAGGAGGTGAGGGAAGGGGAAGACGACGACGAGGAGGAGGACCAAGACGACCTCGTCCAGGAGCTACTGCCCTGCAACTTTCTCAAGCTTTTTCTGCTTTTTCTGGAAGACGCTTTTGTGTTTGTAATGAGGCAAAAGCCTTGATTCTTTTGAGAGTTGGACTTGCTTCCAGTTCTTACCTCTCCCAGCCTCGGCTCGCAACACTGTCGCAGATGTTCCGAATGCAACCGCCTGGGCGGTGGGGGCTTGGGGCTTGGGCTTGTGGGGCTTGAACCCTTGCATCGCTAAATTTTCAAGTGGGCGGCGTGGGGCCCGAGAATCGCGTTCAGCAACACAAGTTGGAGTGTGGGAGCATCATCTCCTCAGAGGTCCAGGTTGGCAAACCAAAGCCTACAAAGCCTACAAAGACATGGGAATGTAGTGGCGTTTCGCCATACCACACAAGCCTGATCATCCGGCAGCAAATGCAGCAAATCATGATCACCAAGGCTAGCAGGAGGTTCGATCGACAGAATTGCTGGGGAAACCCAACATGCCACGAAAGAAGGTCTAGCAGTGTCCTTGTTGAAAACGGTAAATGCAGTAACGCTGGGCGCATCAGCTTCACAAGCCTACACACGATTTGGGAGTATATATGCTTACGTGGGTTCAGGGATATCGGCTGGCCTACAGTCTTGTCTGCAGCTCATATCTGTGAGAGAGGAGATGTACGTCTTCTTGCATGGCTCGGCCATTTGCTACAGCTCCTCGGTGACCTCTGTGTGTTGTGTGTTGCCTTCCATTCTGTCAACGCCTCCTTTTCAGAGTTCGGTTTCGTGGGAGACGCTTGTTTGGGTTTGATTTTGAAAGCCGACATACCTAAAGTCTTCCTCAGCGAGGGCCGTAACGGCACAAAAGGCAGAGTTCAATCGGGTGCAATGCATAGGGCTAAGACACAGGCTCCCTCACAGGCGAGCGGAGCTGGAGGCACGGCGAGGCAGGAGAGTTGCGGCTTGTCGCTTTCTTTTGCGGTTTTTGTGTGTGCTGCGCGCCCCCTCGTCCCCGTCCCCGCCTTCCTCAAATACTACATATGCAGCAGAATGTAGCTTTCACAGGTCATTGGCGAGGGCGCCTTTGCAGGAGCCACCAGGTGCTCGCGAGCGGAAGTGAACCTTGAGATCTCAGTTGCGTTGTCTTGTGCTTTGGTGCCACTTGGTGGCGGATCTGCCCTCCGCTTGTGCAGAGAGGCTCTATCCAGCCAGGATCGTGGCCGAGAGCGTGTGCTTGATCCAGGCAGAAGTGTGACCACCGCAGAAATGACCACAGTGGCCAATGTATATATATATATATATATATGGTACCCCCCCCCCCTGGAGAATCTACCTCCAGAGGGTGGGGGTTTAAGATCTACCTCCAGAGGGTGGGGGTTTAAGATACCTGTAATTTGAATTTCTTCGTTTAAGTTATTTTTTTCGCTTAAGTCACGGTTTTCGTCCTTATATATGTGTAGGATATGATTTCCTATATCATTATATCATTCTCCTATATGCTGAGAGTGAGGTGTAAGTTTTTTTTTTATTTTAGTGTGTGTCTTGTTTATAAGCAGTTGGGTTGCTTATAAGCAGTGGGGTTGCTTATAAGCAGGAAGGGGTGAGGGGGGGGGGGAGTTGGGGGGGTTTCGCCCCAGGACCTCTGTGACCCCCCCCCCCCCCAATGAAAGATCATCCATGACCAGATATCCTCATCTTACTCAGTCGAGCCCAAGACCTGTGAACATGAAAATGTTACTGAAGCATTTGGTTAAAGAGCGAGAAGTGTACGTGAACAAGTAGTTGCCATGAAGCGCGTGGGAGCGGTATCAGGCCTCATCTCCTTGGAAAACGGTGTCTGCAAACTTGAATTGGTTCAGAGCTCCTTCACTCCAAGCACTTCCGCATCCACAGCTTCTATGCCCAATCCCTCGTCTCCTCCTCCGGTCATCTCTACCATAGTCGAGGAAATCAAGAGTGGCACCCTCGAGACACATCCCACGAAGCAAGACTTGACATCACGCCAAGTCCAATCACATGTGATCTATCTCCAGCACAAGTTCTCCCTAGTACCAGGGTCCCAGGGCGGCTGGAATCAGTTGGCAGAAGATGCACTTCGCCAGTGGTTGAGAACCAAAAAGCGTGGTGCAGCAGCTAAAGCCAGTTCGTCAAACCAGGTGCTCGCCATCACAGATGAACCGGGGCGTGCGTCATCACCAGAGTCAAGCATAAGCTGCCCGGCACAAAGAACAAGACAATCACAGTGAAGTCCGGCACCCAGGTCATAGACCGGTGTTGGAGATTCCTAAAGGAACGTGTGCGTGTGAGTCAGCACACGAAAGCCGGTAGCTCCTTGCTGAGAGCCAAGCTGCGAAGCGCCCAGTATGAATACTGGAATCGCAGTAAGGACTTGTGGCTGGCATGCGGAGAGCTATGCTCCCATGTCATGAGAAAGTTCTTGTCGTAGGCTTCCTTCGTCCACAGGATATGGCGTCTCGGTAGTCCATATTCTCTATCCAATCCAGACCAACCGCGCTCGCAGGTAAAATTCACGCATCTGACATCGCAATAGTTCGACCACACACAATGCCATAAGATCTGAAAATGGCATCTGACATTGCAATAGTTCAACCACGCACAACGCCATAAGACCTGAAAATGTATTCTGGGAAGTTAATCTCGTGATCGTTCAACCATACACGACGCGATAAAACCTTTAAAGGTAGATTCTCCAGGGGGGGGTAGCATATATATATATATATATGTATTTATGCATTCATACATATATACACACCATACATATACATATATACATATGCGTATAATAAAAAAATAGAATATGAGTAAGAATCTGCATATGTATATATATATATATGTATGTATGCATGAAAGACAGTGAGAAGAAGAAGCACGCTGAGAGTGACGCTGAGAGTGAGAGACTGAGAGTGGCCCGACTGATTCTGACAGAACTGAGAGGTGCTGAGGAGGAAGGAGATCTTCGAGGCCATGGCCGAGCGCGAGGGCCGGGACAAGGAGTTGCCGCGCGCCCAAAGCAACGAAGGGGGGGGGGGGCTGTGAAAACATGTGAAGAATGAAGGACTTCAAGTGATATTCCGATACTGTACCGATACTCTCGAAACGATTCGGGAAGAGCGCGGAAGAAGTGATTGCGGCATCCGTCTGCATGCCCAGGCTGGACCGTCTCGTGAAGGAGGTGTGGGCGCAGAGGGGACTTGGAGATTGCTGGATGTCCTGGTGCCAGTATGATACCCCGGTGTCGAACTCTGCGCCTTCATGGTTCGTTGCAAGCAAGCCCCCACAAGTCGCTGCTGGAGTCCTGATAGACAACCGGCCTGTCGACCAGCAGGGCTCTGGGGGGCCGCTCCAAACCCAGATCCAATGAAAAGTGGTGGCGACCACCCCCACCCCCTTTCCCTTTGCAAGCCACTTGGGCCTCAGGATTCAATGCATTCAATGCATCAGGGCCCTCGGAGAATTGCGGGAAATCTACAACCTTGTACCGCTTCGAATGCAATGAGGATGGCCCCCTACGAGAAAGTTTGGCAGCGCCGTCTTTCTGGCAGCAGCTACGACCTCTCCACGCCCCTACCACTGCACAACTCAAAAGCGCTCGCAGAGGAACTCCTTTTACATTCGGGCTCCCAGTGCTGCGCATCAGTTGCAAAGAAGCACAGAAGCAGGGAAAAGAGACGCAACAGATCGACGGAAGATCGAAATCAATTTACACATGTGCTGGGAGAGGCGCAGCCCTACGGCATGACGCAGCTCCGGAAGAGGCCCTTGGTCACGAAGAAAAAGAGGTAGCAAAGTTCGTTCTCGTGCATCCCTAGGCTGCAGCGCAGTTGGTCCTTCCGTAATGCCCAGCCGGGCTTCGCCAACTCCCTGGTGACGCGCCCTGGCTCACACTTTAAATTTCACACCATTCAAAAGAGGGCTCACAGAAAGGAGAGTGCAAAAAAACAAGCTGTAGGCTCCCGGATGTGGTGCTCTTCCCTCCCAACCACCTCATCACAGAACAGGCGCCTTGAGAGACTCTGCGAAGGGAGCATTTTGCTCTATTTTGCCATGTGTTTGTGTGTGTGCCAGGGCGACGAATGCAAGCTTGGGCAGAGCGACATGTTCCTCGCCCGGTCCCCGAAAGCAAACCCTTGAAAGGTCCCACCTGTATGCGCTTATTCGAGCTGCAAGGTGCTGGCTGGACGGGTGAGGGTTGAGGGCGCAGCCGCTGCCTGATATTGACACTGGAACTCCCAGACCAAGTCACAATATGATGAGCTTACAGAGGTCGGAACGCACTTCAGCACCGTGGGAGCTGGTCAGGAAGTAGCCTCAGCGTTACGACATCGCAAGCATTTATAGGTACAGGCATCGGAAGGCCATATGCCTCGGCATAGGCCTAGGCACCGCCAGCAGAAGTGTGCCTTTGGGAGGTCTTCGGTGAGGTGGGCGCCTTCGGCCTCTCGAAGCGGCGCACGGCCAGCGCGCGCACCTGGGAGGAGCACTATGGGAGTAAGAAGATGTAAAATTGTAAAACACTCAGATGAGGCCCTTGGTGAGGCTCTGAAGGCGTGAGGGCCAAAGAGAGCGGCGGATTCGATGCAATAAGGAACCAAAGCTTCTCAAGCGCTTGGCGTATCTTTTTCTCGAACTTGCCTGTTTTCAGGAGGGTCTGGTCTGCTGCCTGCGCTTCCGCGGCTCCGCGCCTCGGCAGCGATTTCTTGCTTCAGGGCGTTCTCAGAATCTACCGAAATCTGCCATTCTGACACTGTTCACGCGGACCTCGTACGCCTTTTCTGTTTTTTCTTGCTTCCCAGCAAGGCACTTGTGTGAATGAAGCCGAAGCCTACAAGAAGCAAAGATTGTTGCAGCCGCGCCAAGCTGCCAAACCGCCAAGCCGAAAGAACAGAAAAGAAGGCAATTTAGAAGGAAGGGCACAAGAACCCCCAATGTCTAAAAACGCCCAAACCTCTGAGCCCCTCCCCTCTGCCCTCCCAACCCCCCCAAGCGGAGCCCTGAGCCTTGAGGTCGTGAAGGCCGCCGCCTTCGCGCCACGGGCCCAAGCATCGAAAAGAGAGACCAGAGGGACGAAAGTAGGAACGAAGTGTGAGCAGAGAGATGCACAGACGAGAGGAGCATGAGAGAGCAAGGGGAGAAGTGGCTGGGAGAGTTGTGTGACCTTTGCGTGGTTTCTGTACTTAGGTTCCCGCTGGACAAGGACAAGCTCGCAACGATTTGGAAGCGGCCGGGAACCTTCATTACACTTCCCTGTCATCTCCCTTGTCTGTGCTGCTGTGTGCTCTCTCATCTCCCTTCTATTCTTTGGGTCTTGCAAAGGGGCTTTCAACTTGGCCCAGGACGGAGCTCAAGAACCGCAGCACGGAGCTGGAGCGGCGGGAGTGGATCAAGGCGCGCCGACGCCGAGCAGAGCTTGAGAGTTTTGGATAGAGAGATGGCTCAACAGAAGCGCGAAGTGCGAAGCGCGGAGCGCCGAGCGCGGAGCGCGGAGCGCGGAAATCCTAGCTGCCATGCTTTCCGCACTCACCGAGATGCAGAGGCGACGGCGATCCCTGCGCTGGCACAGACGCCCTTGCTCGGTGGCTGTGCGGCACCCTGTTGCGCGATGTTGTAAGCTGGCTAAATCGTATCGTAGAAGTCGCTTTCACAAACGCCGATGAGGCAAGGCCCGTGTGCAGAAAGGACAGCAAATGCACAGTTCGCAATGGTTGAAAAACGTGGTGTGTGTGTGTGTGTGTTGTGGTGTTGATCTGCCTTTTGTTTTGCGCCGCCCTCAGAAGTAGGTGTTGGCCTTCGCGTCTTTGTCTCGGCATCTTCTTGCTTTGAGGATGATGCTGCCCTTGAACCCAACTCTGTGTGCGTGTGTGGAAACAGGTATTTGCATCCTGGAAAGGCTTCACCGCCAAATCTACACGTCGAACAGGGGGCGGATGGACTCATTGCTTGGCATCCGCCAACGAAGACCCAAGCAATGTAGTCGTGAAACGTACCACGGTACAAAAATCTCGTTTCATCATCAAGACAGGCGCAGGTGAAAAGGTTTTACTCCACACAGTCAGCAATGCATCAGTGTGTGTGTGTGTGTAAACCCTGATTCTAAGCTAAGGGGCTTGGAGCTGAGAGCTTATGCATGAGTCGAATTTTCCCGCAGGGGGATTGGGCCTGATGCTTCTACCCAATCCAACGAAGCTATGAAGCATCAGGGGATGTGGAGTTTGGCCAGCTCCATGTACCTGCAATGTTTTCCAGGAGTCCCGATGGGATTCCCCTATACTGAGGTCTCTCCTGTACTGAGGTCTCTCCAGTCATCTCCAGTCAGTGTACCATTGTACAACAATCTCTGGCTGACCTCCCTCTCTCCGTGTGTGGGCTTCGTCGCCCAAGGGCAATTTACCCGTTTGGGCATTGCCTGATTCCTGGATGGGGATCACCCAAGTAAACAGAGAGGCTTCAGTGCCAGATGAGCCTTGGTAGGCACCCAGTGCTATGAGCGGATTCTCTCTCTCTCTCTCGAGGTACCAGCCACGGCTGAAGCTCAAAGTCGCCAATAAGGGCGGAACCGGAAATTGTTGAAGGGCGTCGTAAGCCCAGTCGTGAGACATAGACGAGGTGGTCTAACTCTCTATTCGTGGGTCTCGACCCGAGTCGTATTTCCGGTGGTTGCCCCTCAGTTGCAAATAGAACGTTTTCTTTCTTTAAAAGTAGAGGTGCTCTGGGTCGCTGTGGACAGCGGGGGCCTCCTGGATGCTCCTGGGTCCTTTGTGGCAGCTGGGGGTCCTCCACGACGACGACGATGATGGGAGGTGCCTTGGGTCAAGGCGGTGGCAGCTGGGATCTCCCGGATGCTCCTGGGCCTGTCATGGCAGCTGGAGGTCTCTGACGACGATGATGACGACGACACTAAGGATTTCTAAGGTCGGTGCTGGAGGAGGAGGGCCTATGGCGGTGACGGGCCTATGGCGGAGGACTCACCGGTGACAAAGGTACAAGACCAGGACTTTCCCTCTTCGGAGGGTGTGCGTGCAGCATATCTCTTGTGGCCTTGGAATGCACTGTGTCTCCCCTCGTAGGAGGGGTGTGTGTGTGTGTAAACCCTGATTCTAAGCTAAGGGGCTTGGAGCTGAGAGCTTATGCATGAGTCGAATTTTCCCGCAGGGGGATTGGGCCTGATGCTTCTACCCAATCCAACGAAGCTATGAAGCATCAGGGGATGTGGAGTTTGGCCAGCTCCATGTACCTGCAATGTTTTCCAGGAGTCCCGATGGGATTCCCCTATACTGAGGTCTCTCCTGTACTGAGGTCTCTCCAGTCATCTCCAGTCAGTGTACCATTGTACAACAATCTCTGGCTGACCTCCCTCTCTCCGTGTGTGGGCTTCGTCGCCCAAGGGCAATTTACCCGTTTGGGCATTGCCTGATTCCTGGATGGGGATCACCCAAGTAAACAGAGAGGCTTCAGTGCCAGATGAGCCTTGGTAGGCACCCAGTGCTATGAGCGGATTCTCTCTCTCTCTCGACCAGCCACGGCTGAAGCTCAAAGTCGCCAATAAGGGCGGAACCGGAAATTGTTGAAGGGCGTCGTAAGCCCAGTCGTGAGACATAGACGAGGTGGTCTAACTCTCTATTCGTGGGTCTCGACCCGAGTCGTATTTCCGGTGGTTGCCCTTCAGTTGCAAATAGAACGTTTTCTTTCTTTAAAAGAGAGGTGCTCTGGGTCGCTGTGGACAGCGGGGGCCTCCTGGATGCTCCTGGGTCCTGTGTGGCAGCTGGGGGTCCTCCACGACGACGACGATGATGGGAGGTGCCTTGGGTCAAGGCGGTGGCAGCTGGGATCTCCCGGATGCTCCTGGGCCTGTCATGGCAGCTGGAGGTCTCTGACGACGATGATGACGACGACACTAAGGATTTCTAAGGTCGGTGCTGGAGGAGGAGGGCCTATGGCGGTGACGGGCCTATGGCGGAGGACTCACCGGTGACAAAGGTACAAGACCAGGACTTTCCCTCTTCGGAGGGTGTGCGTGCAGCATATCTCTTGTGGCCTTGGAATGCACTGTGTCTCCCCTCGTAGGAGGTGTGTGTGTGTGTGTAAACCCTGATTCTAAGCTAAGGGGCTTGGAGCTGAGAGCTTATGCATGAGTCGAATTTTCCCGCAGGGGGATTGGGCCTGATGCTTCTACCCAATCCAACGAAGCTATGAAGCATCAGGGGATGTGGAGTTTGGCCAGCTCCATGTACCTGCAATGTTTTCCAGGAGTCCCGATGGGATTCCCCTATACTGAGGTCTCTCCTGTACTGAGGTCTCTCCAGTCATCTCCAGTCAGTGTACCATTGTACAACAATCTCTGGCTGACCTCCCTCTCTCCGTGTGTGTGTGTGTGGGTGTGTGTGTGTGTGTGTGTGTGTGTGTGTCTGTGTGTTTGTTTCAGGACAAGAAACCTCTCATTGGAACCTAGTACTAACTTTACAACATCCAAACTGCGAGGCCGTGTAACACTCTCAGAGGAAGTATGCATGATGTTTCCGAGGTCCACCGTCTTTCTTCCACAGCTTGGCCGTGCTCCTCAAGGACACTCCATGCTCCACAACACTGCAACAGAGACCAGAAATGTCAGAAGAACCTGGCAAACACCGGCATTCGACGAGGAGCAGACCTACAAACCCGAGTCCTGCATTGTGAAGTGTGGCCGCGCACTGAAGCACTGTCATTTCGGGGCCTTGCAAAGAGAGGGGAGCACGAGGTTATGTTCGTTTCCCTTTTTGAAACGGAAATCGGGAGGGCTGGCTGCTCACACAGAGGTTTCTCTGTTCGCTTATTGCTTGTCCACCTCTCCCTTGAAAAGAAGCACCGAATAATTCGTCTCAAACTTTAACATGATTGTCAGCTCCCCACGCGCAGCTTCTTTTCGTGACTTTTTGGCGTGGTAGCTCTTGAGCAAACTAGGGTGTTTAATCTTTGAAAGGTCTTGCTTCAAGAAAATCACCGTGTTTCCTTCTTAGAGAAGCCTTTCTTTGCTTCTTTTCGTTGAGAGTTAGCTGGTGACCAGACTGATGCCGCCATGCTTTGATCTTCTTCGTGTACCTCACTTTGTCCTCGCTCACCGTTTCCTTTCGTGACAGTTCCCTCGTGCGGCAGATCTTTTGCAAGCGCCACGTTTCATCCTTCGTAAGATCTTGCTTAAAGCAGCCCTGCAAACAGCTTCTGTTTCGTCGTTGTTCTACCAACACACAGCATCGTTTCGTGACAGCCCATAGCAAGCCGCGTATCCTTCTTGGAAAAGCTCTTGTTCTAGAACAAGTCTCTGGGCGCAGCTTTTTTCTGTGACAGCGCTTCCTTCCTTGAAAGATCTTCTCGACAACAACTCGCTTTGCACAGCTTCCTGTCGTGACAGAGCTGTGCGAGTTATATAGTTCGTCGTAGCCACCGCGCCAGCGCATTTTTCCCCTTCGAACGGTTTTGCTTTAACGCAACTCCCAAAATGAGGGTTAATGTTTGAGCAAAGGCCCGCCAGCATCAGCTCTCAAAGCGACTTGGTAGCTACCACAAAGGCCATGTTTTCAAGCAAAGTCCCAGGCGAGAAGCTGGAGAGTATGATGATCTTCATCCAGGCCCTGGGCCTTGGGTCCAGTTCCTTCTGTAGACTCAAATCTCCTCAGGGGGCGGCCCAGATGAAGACGCGAGTCGGCGACGAGATCGGGCTGATGCGTAAAGGCTCCATCTTCGGGGAGGCTCTGTGGCGAAAGATGGGGCGAAACATCTTCAACCTGAACTTTGAACTCATGCCAGGCAAATGGGCTGGGCCTCTTCCAAAGCTCTATGGCCACGGCCTGGCTGCTCAGAAGAGGGCCGCGTGTTCGAAGGGACTTGGCGAGTTTCCTTGAAGTGCTCTCAAGCCCTCAGCACCTTCTTAGCACCTTCTTGCCTGAGGTGCAGGTCCTGCAGGAGCGGTGCCGGCTACTCTTGCTGCCGCACGTGGCCATGTCGCAGGCAAGGAAGGATTTGAAGGCCAGCAACTGTCGGCCGGGTTATACCGCGATGCCCTGTGCCAGGCGCTTGCAGGCGTAGCCGCCAAATCCGAGGCGTGAAGCAACAAACAAGCATAATAAGCTCTGTTGAGTGGAAAGCTTCTCAGTTTTCCTTGCAATGGCCATCTTCACCTGCTCTCCCTCCCTCTCCGCCTCTGGCTGTCTCTCTCTCTCTCTCTATCTGTCCTGATCTCCTAAACTCTCTCGTTTTCTTTCTGTAGTTTCTTGCTTCTCTCTCTCTATCTCTCGCTCCCTCTCTCTTGCGCTCTCTCTCTCTCTCTGTCTCTTTGGTTGTTTTTTTTTGTGCTACTTGCTTGACAGGGAATTACCGATGCGTTCCAGAAGCTGGTCACTGGCCGGCGCGAGCAGGCCTCTCTCTCTCTCTCTCTCTCTCTCTCTCTCTCTTTCTCTCCCTGTGAGCCCCTCACATGCTCTGAGAAGAGGCTGATCAGCGGACGTCTCTGGATGTTCTGTCAGGTCGAGCGCGGGGTTCCCCTCTGCGCCATGAACATCTTGGCCCAAAAGAATGACGTCCGAGTGCGAGCCATCGCCGGCAGCCCAGGAAAGCTTTTGTCTCGACAAGGAATGGAGAATAATGAAGATAATTTATTGCAAGGAGCCGCGCTCTGGTGTGCTTCTGGTGCTTTTGTGAGGCGCTGGTTGCGGAGCGGGCTGACTTGGAGAGCCTCGGAACCGCAAATGCAACTTGCAGCTGCAGTGGCACAGAGCGAATTTCCGTTCGAATCTCGGGTTCCTGAGGACTGGCGAGGAATGGCAGCCCATCGCTGACTCCGAGCCTTCGGGGCCCTTCTTCGGCGTACTTGCATCAGGTGGGAGTAGAGACAACACTTCAGCGAGCGTTGCAACGGGTAGCGACTCTGACTAGACAAACGTGGGCTTTGGGGTGCCGCATGGGCAGCATGGGCACCGCATGTGCACCGCATGGGAACCTCACAAACACCTGGGGGGGAGCAAAGCGCGGCCAGCGAGAAGATGCCAGTGCGGATGGGGTAGGGCGGTATGGGTCAAGGGAGTCAAGGATGGCAAGAGACTGCATTCCCGAGGAGGGGAAACAAGGCAAACACAAACCTTCAACAGACTTGTGCGAGGCAGGTTTGCCGAATGTCGGGGCATGAGAAACATGCTTGGAACATTGGAGTGATCGTCTAAACAATGTGAGTGGCTGTGTTGTACTCGCTCGTCTACTCCTCGCTGAGCTGCATGTGCAGGGCGGGTCATGGTGGAGATTGGACCGGCAAGGTTCCCAGCGTCAACCATGGACTTCACAAAGCAGGTGCAAGCCATCTGTGCGCTGCACTCTTTAGAGTGAGCTTGAGGACCGTCACATCGTGCTGCAGCTGACTGCCGGCAGCATATTCCCCGAGGTGTAGGGCATCACGATCACAGGGCAATGCTACAGCCGTTCCTTTGTGCCAGGGACTGTTGGCAACCTATGGCGCAGTATGTCGAGCAGAAACCTACTGCGAAGCCTTGGCCTCAAGATGCGAGGACATGCAAAAACATCCTGTGGTTCAGTCGGAGACGTCCTGAAGTCCACACGAAGTTACCAAGCGCCAAGGCTTACAGAGTGCGGTGGCATGACTTCTACATGGCTGCCAGGATCTCATCCCCTGCAATTCCTGTAAGTCCGTGCCGTGAGGCGAAAGGCCGAAGGGAGGCTGAAGGCTGGCTAACAGCAATTCTGGCAATTCCAGAGGTTGGCTTGAGCACGCCGGCGCCCAATGACTGGCCAGGGACTTCGTGCGTTTTTGCCCTCCTTGTATGCTTCTCTTGTGTTCTCTCCCTCGTGTTCTCTCGTGTTTTTATGTCTCTGCTCTCGTGGTCGTGGGCCGTGTTGAGGTTCTGGAAGTTCCGGGTGCAAGAGAAGGCCAGCGGCCAGCGGAGCAAAGCATGGCAAAAAGAAAAGCATGTGAGTTGCACGTTCTTTTTCCCAGAGACTTCTAGGCAACCGTGGAGCGCCTCACGCGGAGGCAGAGATGGGAGAGGGGCAGGGATGAGGAGCATAAGGAGGAAGCATAAGGAGGAGTCTCTCTTGCCTTTTTTTGTTACACTCTCTCGCGTGAGGCTGCAGTCGGTACAAGGCCTCCTCGACGTGAACCTTCCACATGCCAAGGACGACGAGATCAAGGCGCCTACCTTCGCAGGAATCCTCGGAATCCGGAGCTCTTCCAGCATGCTTTTCCTCAACTTTTTGCTGTCTTTGTGGGGGGGTGGGGGTGAGTTTGGAGTGCTGCAGGCCTGGAAGGACCAGCGAGGCCAACGCTTGAGCCAGGCGAAGAAGAACGACGTGGATTTCGAGGCGGGAGGCGAATCTCAATTTTCTCTCAGCTCTTGAGGCCCGTGTATGGATGGACCGGGGGAAGTTGTGAAGGGGATCTGAAGGCTGCTGTGCTTCTGTTAAGGAGCACGACAGTCCGGGCGCACAACTCGAGCATTTCGTACAACGGCCTCCAGATGTTGGAGCGTTGCGTCTTTGGCGCTTGGCCAGGCCCTCTCACGTGCTCCCCTGCCTCTGTTAGGCAAAGTGCCTGGCTCAGGTCCTGAAACGAGATTCAATGATTCAAAGGGATCTGATGTCTCGTTGTCGTTGCATCTGCAGAGCTCCGCTTTGAGGCCAAGAAGCCCTTGGAGCTCAAGCCCAGGACCGTGTTGTCCCGCGATCTCCCATGCATCAGCCTGCCAAGATGCCTAACAGTGGCCCGGTACCCGGAACTTCACGAGGCGTGAAAATGCTTAAAGCGCCTCCCCCCCACCCCCCCAAAGCATAGCACACCCCATGTTTTCGTATGCCCTCGAAGTACTGGGGCCATGCGCTAAGGCGTCCCGCCGAGCACAGGGCGGAACAATTCCTGCGAGTTTTTTGGGGAATGCCTGCAAAGCTGGGGAAGGTTGCACAGAAGGGTCATGTGTACTTGCGCGGTCGCGAGTTGGGGCCTTTGGAGCCCCGGAAAACCAGGTTGAGAGGTGCAGGTTGGCAAGCAGAGGGCGGGTTTGTGGGTTGAGGGTGCGGGATGCTGAAACATATTCATGGAAGCGGGTCTCGCTCGCACTGATCGCCGCGAATCCAATCCATGCGCCAGCAAAACTCCCTTCAGTGTTGTTCCTTTTGTCACATGAGGTGCTAACATACCACCCCCTTCGCCAGTAGGTGTAGGAGGCTGATTCCCATGCACTTTCCTGGGGACCTCCCAGCAACAGACGTCCATGATAGTTGCTTTTGCGCCAGGACTGGCGAGTGGGAAGCAAAAACAGGCACTCTCGCGTCCTGGGACAGTCTGTGGCTACGTCCTTCAGCAATCTTTGGCGCGTGAGGCCTCTTGGCGTATGCAGGCAGTGGATTGCTGCATCTGCCGAAGCTGGACGAAAAAGGCCCCTTCTGTCTCCGTGACTCTCCGTGTGGTCTACCCAGCCCCTTGTGCATGCCCTTGCCCTTGTCTCCCAGGCGCTCGTCTTCATCAGTCCAGGTCTGAGCCGACGCTCGCGGAGAAGAGTGGATGAGGGAGGCGTATATCTGGTATGGTATGCTAGGCGCACGTTGTACGAGGAAAGGACAGGCTTTCTTGTGTACCCTAAACAAAGTCCGAATTCAATTTTAAAAGCGCTTAAGGCGCTCTGTGTCCTTTACGCCGCTGTCTGAAGACAGCAGGTTGCAACGGTTGCAGTGTGTCACCCTGAGTGGTGCAATGCCGTCGTGACCACCTCGTTTGAAGATCCCTTATTGGGATCTGTCGTATGGCGGTCAGAGCGATGGGTTAAAATAGCCACTGCCCGAGTCAGCAGGGTTATGTCGATATGTCATCACGGAGCCTGAGAAAAAATGTGTGTGTGTGTACATGTGAGAGGCTCAAGTGGGTCCCAATGGATCCCACTGAGTCCCACTTAGTTTAACGTAGCTGGTCCTGCGGTGTGCAGGACAGCTTGGAGGGGCCCTTGGAGGGGCCCTGGAGTGCTTCTGAGTCTTTGTGCAAGCCAGGACCCGTTGGCGTGGGCACCGCGGGCAAATGCACTTGTTCTGGCTTCTGCTGCAGGCCAGGCCCGAGCCAAGGGCAGAGAAGAGGGCAGAGAAAGAGAGTGTCCAAAACACTTCGCGACTTCAGGTGCTGGCCTTTACCCCCGAGGCCCTGAAGCACGGACTCCACAGCAACTCCAGGCGCAGTCTCTTCCCTTCCTGAGAGGAGTCCTGTCTGCTTTAATGTTTGCTGCTCCAGCTCTTCCGAGCTGCGACCGCCCCGAGTGCTGGCCTCAAATGCTCAGCGAAAGCGAAGCTTGAAGTCTCTGCCATCCTTCCCTTTTCCGACGGGCTGCTCATTTGCTGTCACTGACTGTTGCTTTTGCGTGCGTGCGTGCGTGCGTGCGTGCGTGCGTGCGTGCGTGCGTGCGTGCGTGCGTGCGTGGGTGGGTGGGTGGGTGGGTGGGTGGGTGGGTGTGTGTGTGTGTGTGTGTGTGTGTGTGTGTGTGTGTGTGTGTGTGTGTGTGTGTGTGTGTGTGTGTGTGAGTGTCACTTATGTGTCGCTTGTTGGTTTCGTTTTGTTGGCGGCTGCTGAGCTTCGTTGTTGTCGGAGCTCCTCAACTGGCAATGCCAGAACACTTCGAAGGTACCCATGGACCTTGATCCCTAAGCAATGATGCCATTGTGGGCCCCCGAAAATTTCACTTGGGCTTCTCCCGCTCGCTCGCTAGCTCTCACACTCTTCCCTTTTCTCTTCCTCTCTCTATCTCTGTGAATCTCCGGTTTTTCTTAATGGTTTCGCCTTCGCCCATACAGCATGTCGTGCTGTTGATCTTACCATCTCCGTTGGTATTGAGCGCGCGACATGAATCCGGGATGCTTTGCTTTTCAAGGTCTACTTCCTTTTCCTGGCCGTGGACAAGGATTGCTGTGTTTGGATGCATGCTGTTTCAAGCAAGAGTTGTTGCGCCGCCCCACAGATTTCCAACCTGGACGTTTGGTCGGCCTTCTTCGACTCCGCAGACTCGGAGAAGTGGCTCGGCTCGGCCACCACGCAAAATCCAACTGTGAACTACGAGCGTGCTGTTGTCTCCACTTGTGGAGATGCCTGGAACGTGTCCCAGGTATAGAGCGTTTGTCCACTGCAAGGAGAAACAATGTGTGCAGCAGATGCCGCTGCCTCGCATTTCTCACATGTGTTACATTTGGCTTCAAGTTGTGTCCAAGTTCCAGTTGGCACAGGGCTGGCTCCCCCATCGTACCGGTGCCAACGGCCTCGCCCTCGCATTTGAGAGATAGTAACTCTGAATGTCTTGTTTTCGATGGGAACTGGTGATGGAACACTTCGATTGTAAGACAGGCCTTGTGCTCTGCCAGGTATCGAGCTACTACTGCACAGATCTGGTTTCGCCGATGAATCAGGCAAGGTATGCGCTTTGCGCAGTGTATCATGCCTGGATGAATGGTGCCTCCTTGTCTCCTGGGACTCGCACTGTCAGCTCCTGAGCTATGCTTTGAGCACCGACCTTGGCCCCACCAACGCCAGCAACCTAGTGTCGCCCGAGTTGCTGATTTGTCCGTCTGCACGTCTCAGCCAAACAAAGGCGCTCGACAAGTTCGCCTTCATCTCTGACTCGGCCCTGCCCGCCAAGCCCTTCTCGGAGGTTGGGTCGACCCTTCTCTCAGGAACAGGACACAGCCAACTGCAGCTGCGTGATCTGTGCATATCCGTGCTAGCCAGACCCAGCAGGAGCCTCGTCACCCCGGCTAAGAAGTAGAACGATCTCACTGCCACCGCTGCCTATTGCCTGTCTCGCAGATCCACCGCACGCTCGGCGATCGGGAGGGCTCCGACTTCTGTGCCTTCCCGGCCTCGTTTATGCCGTTTATGCCAGCGGGAAGCGTGAATCGAGGCTTCAAGAGCCAGATGTTTTTTTCGTTCAAGGCGGGCTTTCAAGAACAGGACGGGCCAGGGGAACCTAGGGGATACAGGGCGGTTCCAGGCCAAGGAATCGTTTTTTGCTTTCCATTTGATGGCTGTCAGCTGCTGCATTCGCCAGCGGTCCGCGCTGCGACTTTCTGTGAAGGGCCGGCATTTCAGGCATTTGAGCCTCGCATAAGTCTTCAGGGAGCCTGAGCAACGTGCCTTGCTCTTTGAAAGTTCACTTGGGATAGAGTATTGAGTCGTCTGCGCTGGTGCCTGTGCCTTTCGTTAGAGCAGGCGCTCGTGCATTGCCCGCTTCCCTTGGCTGCTGGTGCTTTTTGTGTTGGGCTCACTTGGCGGATTTGAAAAGTTGTTTTGTGTAAACGTTCGATCTGTTCAAGCGATGTGCCAGTATCCCTCTCGGCATCGGCGGTGCGTGTGCGACATGTTCGAGTGCCGAGCAACAAGGGACAGTGGACAATGTCTCTGGATTCGCTAAGACTTTCAACGCATTGAGTGCCCTGAATACGGGGAGATTGACGCTCATGGCAGGTCTTTCCGCCAGGAGAATGGGCAGACCTCCCAAATGGAGATGGGGAGGGCCTCGAGGCGCCTCTTTCGACGCGGAGTGGCAAATGAGCGCTGAGCGCACCTGCCAGGTCGCCGTCAAGGTGCATCAGTGGATCACCCTTTCCCGTGCGCATGCCGAGCGTGCCTCGGTGGCTCGGCTTCATTTCCGGAGCCTTCGCTTGCCTTCATACCCCTTCAGACATCAAGACCAGAGCCTAAGGACATGTGGCAAAAGGGTGTCATGCACAACTTCATGACGTACTTCAAGATGAATCAGCTTGGGCCGTCCCCACAGATGTTGCAACGAAACGTTTGCAACCAGTCACTTGTGCGACATCAACAGGTGTCGATTTTGGTGAAGACTGTCTGAGGTGGAACAACATGCTGGACAACAACTTCGCAGACAATCGCAATTGGGGATGCCAGCTTCTTGCATTGTTGGTTTGGTAGTTGTCAAGGGAGGACGCTGTTCTGGAGGTCTGGATGAGTTCTGGTATGTAACTGCTCTGTCGCAGCCCCAGACAGGAAAGCAGGCGGCTGACTTAAGAGACCTTCAGGGACCTTGGCTTTGAGGTACGGGACACTGAAGAAAGTCCATGCCGAAGGTGACCAATCCATTGACCTCCCGGAGCCCGGAGCTTGGCATAAGGCTTTTGCATGCTTTTGCTGGCTCCGTGTGTTTTAAGCCCCTGCCGACCAGGTTCACGGGCTCACCTCTGCGCATTGACAAGACGGCGGGCTGGCAGGTCTGCTACTTGTACCGTTCTCTTCCAGCTTCTGCGCTGGGCCGTGGCGTGCCATTGTAGCACCCTCTCAGGGCAAGTGCGACACCTTTGTCATCTGGGCAAAGTCTGCTCCTGAGTTCGAAGTTTGCGAATCGAGGATGCCCGCACACGCTTTGGCACCGAGGTATATGCACAGCCTCGGCAGGAATGAGCAGCAGAACTTGATGTTGTGCTCGTAGCATGATTGTGGTCTCGAGGGTGTGCCAGCGATTGCAAGAGTCTGTGCAGAGAGTGTCCTTTCTGTAGAGGGAGAATAGTGCAATGTATGAACGAGAGCTCCCAAAGTTGGGCTGATCTTTTCTATTCGAGGGGGGGCAGCTCTTGCCGCTCGGTGGATTGTGCTCTGTCGGGGGGGCTAGGTCTCTGGACCCGCCTTCAGTGCCTCATGGTGGCAACTGGGCTCGGCCGGCGCCTCGGTGTCTGTGGTTCTTTAGTGGGAACATGCCCCCCCCCCCCCTTCTTCCCTTTTCGGTTTTGCGCAGGCCTGGTTGGTGGGACACCATCTCCACCAAGGGCATCCAAGCCATTCGGAATTCTGCCGCTTGGCTGGCTATGACGGATTATGACGGTCGAGCGGCCAGACTTGAGCGTCGTTCCTGATGCTCAGGACTTCTTGTTCGTGCGTAAATTCATCGACAAGCCAGCCCTCCATGATGGAGGAGACTTCGCTGCCGCGTCACGCCCCGAACTTCCCGAAGCGGACCTCCATACGTCCACTGCCGGCAGTCTGGCTCCAGGTACACGAAAATTGTTGTGGAGGGCATTGCGCCCACTCCCACGAGCTAGGCTGGCCTGGCCCTGTTTCACATCTTTAGCTTTGAGCCCAGAGGCGGCAGTGTCTAGAAGCATTGCTGCAGTGTGCTTCCAGCAGGATAAAAAGTGCATGGTATGTGCAGACGGGCTTACAATGTCTTATGTGCTTTTCTCAATCAGTGAGTTGTGTGTTTGCCGTACTGCGCTTCGAGTGAAGAATGTGACGAGCCTGTGACGAGCCTGTCCCCTTGCAATTGCTGCTCACGCTTCCAGTACCTGGTTTTGGGGGGGCAGAGGTCTGCGGTGCAGGTGCCGCGAGCTCAGCAGGCTGTGTGGCCAGGGCTTTGCGACACTTGCTGCTCCCCCGAGGCTTGAAGCCCTTCAAAGAGAAGAGGCGTCGCCGCAGACATGGCCAGCTTTGCATCAAAGAGACTCGCGCAGGCAGCGCAGAGACCCACGCCCCGCCCCCCCCCCCCCCGATGCCACCATTGCTCTGAAGTGCTTGTGCTGTAATCGCACTTGAGTTCTCAGCGGCGTTCTCAGGAGCGGGCAGCTTTCAAAAAAGACCATCCTTTTGGATTCTACGCAAAGTGCGCCTTCGGGATGAGTTTGGTAGTCCTGCTAGCACCGGTAGCGCTGGGAGTCACATTCTTCGGAGTGTGCTGTCTCAGGTATGCGCCTAACGAAGACGGAAAGGGACAGAACGCCCCTTGTCGATAATTGTGAAGCTGAGTCAGCTGACCGCGGCCAGCAAGTTGTGTATCTGAGAGGTCTTCAAGTGGAACTGTGGAATTCCTGGAAGGGCCAAAGGCCCATGGGAGGCCTTTGGGCTGGTGCTTGTGTGGAAGCATGTGTTCCTTATGCGACTTCTGAGCTTCTCCGGCTTCTCCTGCTGTGAGGGTGCAACCTACGCCCTCACCATGGAGTTCACAGAGGACTATCCGTCCAAGCCGCCTAAGTGCAAGTTTGCGCACGTGTCGCCGGCGCATTCAAAGGACAAGGTCCATGAACCTCAACTCAAGCCACTCCTACCACTCCTTCCGGCCAGGTGCACGGCAAGCCGCTGTTCCACCCGAACGTATACCCTTCCGGAACTGTTTGTCTTAGTATCCTAAACGAGGACGAGGACCGCACCTGGCACCCGCTCTGAGCTTCCCTTCACACTTCTCATGCGACTCATGCTCGCTTCGCGCAGGACTGGAAGCCAGCCATCACGATTCGCCAGATCCTGCTAGGCATTCAGGTGCCCGCGACAGTGTAAGACAGCGCGCTGAAGGCAGAAATTATTTCTTCATGTCGTTGCAGTGCTCTGAGAGGACCTCCTGGACAATCCGAACGCGGCGTCGCCAGCGCAGGAAAAAGGGCGACTATGGGAGTGGAGCAATGAGTAAAGTAGGCTCTGAGTAGACGGGAGAAACGCTCCAGAGTACTGAGTAGAGGAGTGGAGCAGGGTACTACATTCAGGCAGAATGATAGGCTGAGCCCACGCTGCGAGACTGCCTTCTCAGGAGGAGCCCTACCGGCTATTTTCCACCGACAAGGCTGAGTATCTCAGGCGCCCTAAAAGTTGTTGTTTTGGTGGATCCTGAGATGCCTTAGACGCTTGTGGCGCATGCGGTTCCTGTGCAAGGCGGGTGAAGAAGCAAGTCTCGGAGGTGGCAGGGGGAGCCCAAGCCGGAAATTGAGGGAGGCGCCCTGTTGTGGAGTGTGTGTTCGAACCGCTTCGTTGCAGGGTTTGCGGACGTTTACGGACGTTTACGGACGTTTACGGGATGTTTGCCGGCTTACGGATCTTGACTCGCGTTTCAGGTTGCAGTCTCCGTGGACGGAGGCATTGCCCAGAACGTGTGATCGCACGACTCATGCAAAGCTGTGCAAAGCTAGATGCGACTCGGGAAACGGGCGAGGGCAAAAACGTCCCTTCGGCTCCTGTTCATGTTGTTTTCGCAGAATGTAGGTTCCAAGTCAAAGCACGCTTGCGGGTGCTTGCGAGTTCTTGCTGTCGGCAGTATCGGCTTCAAGGTTCTATGAATCGGCAAAGTCAGCACGAACTGACGAGATCGGCAAAATCAAAAGCCAACATGCATGGACAAGAATGGCACTTGCCCTCACCTCACCCCAAACAGGCGCTGTAGTTTTCAGAGTGTAAAGTCGCTGCCGCGCTCGCATTTCGGCCGGCCACAAAGTCGTCGCCAGGCACTGCGTGCGCTTGCGTGCGCTGGTCCGGGGGAGCTTGTACTTCATGGTATCCTGTCTTGCAGGCATGAACCGACGGCCGATGGGAAACTTAGCTCAATGTTGTTCGAGATGTGTCGAAAGGTGTCTGACATTGCGACGTCCTTTCGTTATGATTCTCGAGTCTCTTTCTCTCAATTGAGGATGGTGTAACCGGCTGCGCTCCAAGAAGGTGAACATCTGGAAGTATCAGTTCATGGGGCCGGACAAGTCAGAGCCTCGTGTTGACCTCTTGAAGAAGTTCTGCTTCTTTCCTTTGCTTTCCTTTGAGTGTGCCAGGTGGCTTTGCAACCATCCCTACCACGAGGCGCACATGTCTGCAACAATTGGACTCTTCTATGACAGAAGTCTGGGGCGGGGCAGTTGGAAAAGGTGAAGTACACCCGGCCCTACTGGCTCACGAGGAGATTTAACTGGCTTTTGGCAGTCGGGAGAGACTGGATCCCTCCCTCCCTCCCTCGCTCTCTCTGTCTCTCTCTCTCTCTCTCTCTTTCTCTGTCTGTCAGCTAGTTCCGAAATCTCTGAATGCCATCCTTCAGGAGAGGCTTTCCGAACTTCCCCAGATCGGATCCGCATCAAATCGGCCGGAAAGGGGAGAAGTCCGCAGACTGAGATGCAATTTCAGTGTGCATGTACTTTCTCACGTAGGGGGCCACAGGTTCTCCATGAGCTAAGTTGTCAGGAAGTAGTGATTTCTGGCTTGCTTGAACGGAAGCCACGGCATATCAACGCGAGAACATGCACCCGAGAAGTGTCGAACAACAAGGGTAGATGGAAGTAGCCGGACAGACAGGCAAGGCTCTTTCTCGTTTTACAACTGTTTACTAAGTTTGCTGTTTGCGTGTGGCGGGGGCATTCGGCACTCTCGCGAGGTTCTTTGACATGTCGAGGCTGCACGCTCAGGACGGCACAGTCTTTTCGTGTCTAAAGGGCACTCAACTGGAAGCTTCGCAAAGTCTCGCATGCAGCCAAAGTCTCGCATGCAGGATGCCCAGAAGGGCCCATGGAATGAGGAGCCCCCTGGTCTGGAACACATCGAGTAGCATCCCGCCTCCAACGGTGCGTCTCACACCATCTCACATAGCGTGGAAGGCTGTCGCAAGACAGCTGAGCTTAAGAGACAACGCTTAAAAAGTCAAAAGAAGGTGTCAGGGGGGGGCTCTTAAGCTGCCCTTAAACCCGGGCACGGCGGGGGCCTGAAACGCGGTGCTGCTTTTCGTGCCACTTCTCAGGGCTACGTTAGGCTACGTTCCTCTCCCTGAAGCGCCCTTGCACGAAGCTGCTCAAGCACATGGAGGTGATACGTGGTAGTCTAGCTGTAGCTGTTTGGTGCAGTTGAGTCTTTGAAGTAAGCTTGTACGGTCAATACTCGGGAGGACCCTTGTGATGGCTTCACGAAGGCCAATCAGGGTGCTCCGTCCAAGACATGGAGATATGGAGATGTGCGGTCGCGACAGGGGGTGAAGCTAGATGAAACGCGCAACACGCAGCAAGATAGTTCTCGCACAGCCTGAAGACTGAAGCAATGGTCCTGGACTGTCTTGGAGGCGTTTGCCTTGGGGTGGACCGACTCGTGGCCGGCTTGAGGTCGGGGATCTTTCTGCGTGCCAGGGTGTGTCTGGGCGCACACGACATGCATCAGGATTGTCGGGAGGACTCCTCTTTCACGTATTCTTGGGTTAGCATTGGCAAGGAGGCCGCTGTGGTCGAAAAGGGTTGATTTTTCCATGGGCGCGTCAAACATGATGAGTCTGCATACATGCTGAGTCTGGAGGGGCGTGGCACACCTTCAGTATGAAGCTCTGAAATGAGATGTCATTGGTGGGGCAAACGAACGTCAGAACACCTGCGCCATGTCATCCATACATATATATATATATACATGTATGTACAAGCACACTCGAATCAAGCGAGGGCTTCGTGGACTTCTGGCCGAGACTTCAATGTCAGTGTGCACTGCACGCCTCGTATCGTCTTGCTACTACCATATATGGTATGAGGGGGGTCGTGAGGTGTTTCTGAGGTGTTTCTCGTGTTTCCCTCGGAGGCGGCGCTTTGCTCTGCGATGCGGCGGGCGCACCTGGCTTGGCCGCCGCGAGTACTGGGACGCAGCGTACGCTTCGGGGCGCTACGGCACCACCTACGCTCCCCGGCCGAAGCCGCCGAAGCCCGAAGACACTGCTGAGGCGAAGAGTATCGTTCCAAGCGTCTCACATGATGGAGAGCCTTTTGGCGCAGTTTGGGTGCAATTCGGGGACGCTATCTTCCCTTGAACTCAGGAATGGAACCAAACCTGCGAAGCAGTCTGGCCGCCGCGGCCCCAGCATTCGAAACACTTTTCATTGCATCATTGTGTAGAGGGGTGTACAGGAGGTTAAGGGTGCTGCAAGGTCGAGGCACCGGGGGTTTCTGAGGTTCGTGACCAGGCTTCTTGAAGACAGCCAGAGCAGCAAAGTACTGCACGTGGGCTGTGGCAACAGTCGCCTGGGAAGAAAGCTGGTGGATGCCGGCTTCAAGAATGTTGCCTGCATGCATATATGAGACAGACACATATGACAAGCGTTCTCTGTGTGCGTCGCCAGCGTTGCAAGTTGCAACAGTGATCCTGAGACGCACAGCACGAGCTCAGGTCGTCAACGTGGACTACAGCTCAGGTTTCAGTGTGTAGAGTAGTTGATGAGTTGAGCTGAGGCGTTGAGAAAACTAGATGAATTGAGAGCGGTAGTTGGTCATGATGTTCCGGAAAGCCGGAGGGTGTTGAGATGAGGACTACAGCTCCATGGTCATCGACATGATGCGCCAGCAAGAGCCGGAACTCACGTGGTTGTGCCTGGACTGTGCGGAGCCTGGCGCCCTTGGTGAGAACGAGTTCGACGCCTGCATCGACAAGGCGTGGGGGACTGACGCGGAAGGGCAGCCCATTGGGGCCCTCCTCGTGTTTACCCCGGCTTTGCCGTTACAAAGCTGGTTCCGACGTTTCTCCCTCCTTTTCTTGAGATTTCTTTGTCCAAACTTTGACCTTTCGGGAGGGCGCCCTGGACTCCCTCTTCGAGGCGGGATCGGAGGCGATGCGCCAGCGAGGCTGTGCCATGGCCACGGAGATCCACCGGGCCCTGCGTCTCAGCACCAAAGCGAAGGGGCCTTTGAGTATAGCGTGTTGTTTGGACTTCGAAACTTAAACTCAAAGGTCTTTCAAGGTTTTTCGTTGAAGCGTTGAGACTTCAGATTTTTTCTTGCAAGAGCTGAGAATGGATTCAAGCTCTGTCTTGCCTGATGCATCCGACTGCTATACCACTGCAACCCCCTCACCCGAGGAAGCATGGCGGGAAGTACCTGGTCATCAGCAATGATGGCACTGGCTCCGGTATCTCCGATGTCTTGGGATCCACGTTTCGGACCGTGGAGAGTGAGCACATCGAAGGATACACATGCGACTTGTACTACAAGCTGATCACCGTCCTCCTGTGCACGAAGTGAACAAGAAAAAGAGAGCCTGTGTGTGGGATCCGATCGAAGCGTTCAGAGAGCCCGTCAATGGTCCCTCTAGCCGCTCTAGCCTGTGAGACCTCTGAGAGCTCTCTGAAGCAGCTTCTTCACATCGAGCCGGCACACCAATGGCCTACCCGAACAAGGAACAGGCTCAGCCCTGAAGTCAGCAGGAGACAGCCATGGGACGGCAACATGCATCAGACGTTGCGACTACCGCACAGCCCCAAACCCGGCCAAGAACCCTCGCTTCTTGGAAGTCCGAGGGGGGTCGGGAAGAAGCCATATCTGTGATTGAAAGGGCTTGTGGGCTGACTCGCAGCCCTCCATGTTGCAAGACTAACTGGCTCTTAACTATCGCAACACACGGTGCCATGCTGCACCTGTACTCTGTGGCACTGCACTATGCTGCGCTGCACTACAGTGAAGCATACTAACGATACTAGAGTATGCCATGTTGCGCTGTATTTTTCATTTTCGCATGGTAGAACATCATAAATTGTACTTTACGATGCTAGGCTTCTGTACTTTGCTGCGCGATGTGGTACGCAACCACTACTGTACATACGTGACGATGCCCGATGTGCGATATGCGGGGACATTCGCGGTACAGTCCAGTACACGATGCGCGATGCACTGCATCGTACAAATCCACACTAAGAAGGATTGTGCTCTATTCCACTCCTCCTATCAAACACTGTGTGGTCTACTTTACTAAGTTATGTAGTGTTGTCCTATGCTGGGAATCTGCCTATGAGTGATAAGCAGCAGCAGGCCACCAGATACCAGCTCTGCTTTTTGCCCTGTGTGCGGAAATCGCACTCTTTCGTCTGGAGCCCGATTCCAATGCGAGATTGCAAAACGGGAGCAGAAGCCGGGTTGACCAGAATCCTGTGTTGTCACATGTGCTTCGTTGCCCAATCTTTGCTCTGGGTTCTGCAAAGGTTCCGGGGCTCTCGTTCTACGTTGTAAGGTCATGCTGATATGCTGGATGCCCCCTTGTATTGGAGAGCCCAGAAAGAATGTTTTGGAGCAGAAGAAATCGTCGGACAAAAGCAGGCATTTGGCTTCCGCGCTCACAATCCTCTTGACCTTAAATACGCTGCCCTATGTGCACCATCATGTCCGTGGATCCAACGTTGCAGGCTGCCGCGTGCGCACTTGGAACTTCGTAGCTTAGGCTTCGTTCGCTTTGGGGCTGTAGGGCTGCGGCCCAAGACATGGATATTCAGATTCTCGGATGTACCTCCTTTATACCACACTGTTGCAAGAGCAGCCCGACCTTCTTGAAGCCTTCTTGAGAGGTGTTCTCTGAGCGGCGCCGCTTCTGGGAGGCACGAATCCGAGCAAAGGATGTCGCCAGATGTCGCCAGATGTCGGTGCTTCTTCGGCCCATTCCAACAAGGGGGTGCTTGGAAACTCGGAGCTTCATCGTTGCGCGCCAGCTTGTGCTGTAGTTGTTCCCCGAAAACACCCGGAGAATCGCCGAAGTGCGTAGGCGCGCTCCCGCAATGCTGCGCCCGTGAGCCCGCCCAGCGCATGCCCCGGAGAGTTGCTCTCATGGGTTTTCTCTTGGAAGCGCACCGACGAAAATCGGAGCAATCGTAGGTCTCAGAAGACAGTGGGGAGGAGAAGGGATTGTCCGGGATTGGTAATGGAGACCTTTCATTCGGTGCTCAGAAGATTTAGCGCAACCTTGAGAAACATGCTTCGTCGCAACAATTGACTGGGTCAAGACCTGCAGCCCCCTACCACTGTCCCCTACCGCCCCCCGTTTTTGTTCAAGATGTCCCAGGCAGGAATCGTTCAAGTAACAAAATTGTGTTGTTGCGCAACCTGCATAACCTGCAAGGTTCAGCGCGAGCCCGAAGCGGAACCGAGCCCGAAGGAAGACCTGAAGGCCGCAGCGCGTCACTGCAGTGTAGCCCATTGGCCAAAACACGCGGAGCCAGGCAACGCCCGAGCCAGCGCCAGAACCCGTTCCCACGAAGGGATGGCGGGAGGCCAGACCGGGAGAGGCAGGATAACTCCCTCGAGCCCAAACTCTGAAGTCCCGACAGGTCCTGCCGTGGTGCGGTTGGCTGACAGGGCACATCGCCAGTTCGTCCGCGTGGAGGAGGAGACATGCGTGTTACAACACTACAACTATATGATGCAACTGTGTACTGTTGATAACCGTTGCACAGGACCTGCCGTCCGAGCGCGACCAGGCCAGACAGCCGTCGCTGCAAACCATGCCCGTGCAACAAAAACAAGCACGAGCCCAGGTCATCCTCGGGGAGGTTTACCGCTTCTGAGAGACCGCAGCGGCGCCGCGTAAGCCGGTCACCAGAAAAGGATCTAACACGCTTCGAGGGTTGCCGCCCCAACAAAAAACGGAGCCTTGAAACCTGCTTCGTCGCAGCAATTGATTGGTTCAACATTGATTGTTTCAAGACCTAAAGTCCCCTGCTGTCACCCATGCCCTACATCATTTGGCTCGACACGCGCGAGGCCGTGCTGATGTCTAAGATATCGCACACGTCGACTTATGTCCGCCACGCACCGGGCAGGTCTCCTACTTGCGCACGGCTGACGCGCAAGGGTCCTACTTGGCATGCGTGGAACAAGGATATAGAATGGCATAGAACAACTTCAGTTGTTTTTCTGTGATCATGAGACAGACCTTGCAATGCAGATCAGACAACGTTGTCATGTTTTGGTCGCGTCATGTTATTCAGCAGGAAGCGGCCAACCGAAGTCTCTTCGGCTGGCTGTTCAGCTCTTGCACTGGGAGGCCGGTCGGGACAAGCGTGCCTTGCGACGTGCCATGTTGACTTGTCGCAGGCACTCTGGAGCTGAGCGACCCCAAAGCGTTGGGTGATCCCAAGCCGGGCTCGGACAAATGCACGTACACCAAGCGCACGCGCGCCATCTCCGGCTTGAAAGGCATTCTGGGTAAGTCCGAACTTGCCGTTGAGCAAGACACCCTGATCCGACCTATGTGCTTCTGCGTGAGGCTGCGGCGTTGTAGAGATGTGTACGTGACACTGTGAAGCAGCTTCTGTTGTAAGTTCGCTACAGCATGTGTAACATCCCCGCAAAGGCACACGCTGATCCTACAGCCTGACAGCACCGCTAATGTGGAGATTGATGGCCAGAAAGTCAATCTGAAGGACCATCGGGAGCATTTGGCACGCAAGGCAAATATGGATACCGAGGACAATAACCTGCGCGACTGGGTTGACCACGGCATGTGGACTGGGAAGGGCAACTTGGAGGACAAGAGGCTGGATGGAAGCGTGGAAGAGAAGCGCCTCGAGCCCCCGTACTGGCGGCTCGGAGGCAGAATGGCGCACCTGGTATTCAGTGGCATGTGGATTGGCAAGCGAATCTCCAACCCAGCTTTCAAGGCCTTCAGGCAGGCTGGGACGGTCACTGTATTCGTCAACTTTGATACGCTGATCATCGCAGTGGTGCTTGTCCATCTTTTCACCCAGGCGTTCCTTTGACCACTTCATGTGGTGTCCGCCTTCTGGAGTCCAAGAATCCCAGCGTGCAGCAGCAGCAGCAGCAGCAGCAGCAGCAGTCGGAACCAGCGAAAAGGTCCGAAGGTTTTGCTTGGCGATCTTCCAGGGTTTTTGCAGTGTGCTTATGCTGATAGATTCTCAGAAGAGGCACCCGGACCGACCTTTCTGGGTCTGGGGTGCATGCAAATGTGCTCAATCTTGTCACAGCGCCTTTCGTGTATCGCTTGTGCGCAGTAGTGCCGGAGCACAAAGTTTGTGCAAGAGCATTTAGCATTTTGCATGTAAACTCAACCAAATGGCTCGACATCTCGCAGTGCTCTCGGGTCCGGTCAATCGCCCGGCGGCTCGTAAACGCGCGCGTGAAGCTTTGCATATTTTGCGCAATGCACCGCGACAGAGAGCCTGTCGGCTCACCTCTTGAACTTAGTTTGCACTACAAAGTTTCGAGCAAGCTTGTGGAACTTCTTGCCAATGTCGACATGACATATACGCTGCGAATGCGGCTCCCTCAGAAGTAGCTGTATCTCGAACTCATCGCACGATCTTGGCCCACGATTCGCCCAACGCCACCAATCCTATTTTGGCTCATTTGCTGTGTGTGTTGAGGTCTGCGGAGCTGGTAGCTTATACCGAGAAACTCGCAAGTCAATCATCCCCGTGCCAATCTTCTCCCACAAGCTGAAAGATGTCGAATCTTTCCACATGCAGTCCTTCAAAATGTTCCATGCTTCAGGAAGTTGATTTCCTGGTTCCCTTCGCTCCAGTCGACAGACATGGATACAAAAGCAACTGACTCTTCGTAGGCTCCCAGAACGCCTTGTCCTGGTATTGACTTAGCAGTCCTGATGGCATTGCCCCGTGCCCCAAGAAGGTACTTGACAAGAAACCTCAACTGTGTCATCGCCCGAACTGTTCGTGAGCTCATGTGTCCGCTGAGTGCCCAAACCGTATAAACTGTGTTCTGGCGTTCAGTTAATTCAAAGAAGTGCCGCGCCAGCTGCAAAATCGATGCATCCTGGGAGCTGAGTGGTGAGACATCCACCTTAACTTCGGGCTGCAGGGCGTCTTCTTTACAGTATCTCCGTCACAAATATGATCCGGAGCTCAAACAGCTTCTGCTTCTTCTTCTTCTTCAAAAAGCTCATCGCATTTTTACCAACATCTTCAGGAAGAAGGTCAGGATTGTTGTAGGCGACCGTGATCAAATCGGCACCGTGTGTCAACTACTCAAGAGAGGCACACAGGCATCATCACAGATCCCCCGCAAAGACTGCGGAATCACCCGCAACATTGCATGCCGGTTTGGTCTGAATGGGCTCAGAGTTTGCCAGAGGTTGAACATTGCGCCGCAGCTAGCACTTGTGCATTCTTGCGCAAAGTTGGAGCTCATGAGCGGAGTCCAGGCGGCTTTGCATGTGGAGATTCATGTGTGCAACTATGTGGGCATATCTGTCCTCGTGTCTGCGTGCAGTCGATTCCAGTGTCATCTGTTCGCAGGAAGCTTTTGTGTACAACCAGATCCGTCACCTACCTACCACCTTTATGCTGCCACTCTTGTGTGCTGAAGGATGTGCCATTCGCTGCAAGCAGCGTGCCTGTGGCGGAGATGCTGACAAGAACGGTGCCGACCTCGGATCAGAATAGGTCGAGGAGGGTATGTTCTTTCTTGCGCCTGACGCTGCCCGCGTTCTTCTCTGCTTCCGGAGAGCGGAGGCAAATGCCGAGCACTCTGAGGCAACGCAAGCCGTGAAGGATGAACTCCTGGAGGACCTTGCCCCGATTTCAAAGCAGTTTATGTACTGCTCATATACTACAGGACGCTGTTTTTCGCATGTACGAAAGCCAGGAATGGAAGACCTTTCGCGAAGATCTTCTGCGCGATGTCAAAGAGGCTCCTTATTCAGCCAGTGCAGGGTCTCATTGTAAGAACGACGGAGAGCGCAGGCAAGATGGGTTAACCAGGGCATGCGTCGACAGGCAGTTGCAGCTGCTCTCAACGTGCAAGAAGCGGCCTCTGCCTCGAACTGCAGCACCATTGCGCTTGTTTGCAATCCTTCTTTCTGACTATCCGCCATCTGGTGCGTGAGTGATCTTTTGTTTTTCTTTGTAGGCGTTGTCGTTGGGGCACGCATTCTCAGGCTGTCCTGCCAAACAACAGATCGTGAATTCCAATGTCCCATCGTGCTCTTGGTGAGACCGAGACTGAGACTGGCGAGAAGGTGCATGTCACCAGTCGAAACCTTAGGATTCGTGGGGGTCCGTGTTTTTCTTGGCTTCTTGCATCGCCTTCCGAGGTTTGTGCTTGAACAGTGTGTCGGAGGCACAAAACTCAGAAGGACCTGTGGCAATTCTTGAAAACAGAGATTGTTTGGCCTGCGGGTGGTGGACGAAATTCGATTGCCACAGGTCAATAGAGCGGCTGATGATGTTGAGCAGGCCACCGGCCCGTGCGTTTGCACATGCTTGGTCGACATCGGTTAGGGACATCGCGCAACGGCATGCAGGTAGCAACGCTGTTCGTAAAATCGCTGCCACTTGCTGAACCCGAACTCAACACTCCAAAGAACTAGCTAGCAGCAGGCTTATAGCGCAAAGCTCAGGCACTGTAGGGCAAAGACCCGGACTTCCCCACTTTTCCCCACGTTTCCCTAGGAAAGTAAGTGAAGTGAAGAAGCCTTCGAAAGTCCAGTTGTCAGGTGACGGGCTATGAGTCACCGGGCCGTGCAAATGTGCAGGAAGCTGAGGCAAAGGGTTGGGGAAGAATGCAGCGGTGGCAATCTCCAGACAATGTCTGTGGAGGGCCCGTCCCCTTCAGCAAGCTTGTTCGAGTTGTTGGCGAGCTGGTTGCCCTGGAGTCTCAGTGTGCATGTTAAAGGCAGCAGGGACAAGCCTTGCATGGATCGAGGCGCATCACCTTTTGGCATCCATACCTTGAACTTCAAGTTTGTTTCGAAACTCAGGACGCATCTCAGGTCGCGCAGGCGCAGATGTGTGTGGGTTTAGGCGCTGCAGAGCTTGTAAATCGAGGGAGGCTGCAGACAGGCGTTTCAGGAGAGGGCTGCAAAAGTGTGATGTGTAGGCGCACTTGGAAGACAGCTGTGAACCTCATGGGCCGCCAGCCGCCCTGGAGGTTCTGCAAGCCAAGAGCCTTTGAGTGATCGTGTGCAAAAAAGTCCTAGACTGCAGTTTTGTCAGGCCCAAGGCTCGCGATGCTCGCGCCAGGAGCAGGTCCAAGACCAGGTTGGCCGGTTCTGCACATGTTTGCTGCCGCGTCTTGCAGCTGGCGCATTCAAAACAGGTGCTGGCGTGTTCTGCTCCGCTTCAATGGGTGGGCTTGTCCTCGCAACCTGTGCTGCACATAGCTTGACTTTCCGGAATGCGCACGACAAACGGCGCGCATCAAAAGCGGCAGCCGACACAGTGGATCCAGGGTCCAAGGGAGAAAGCTGGCCTAGACCTTGCGTTGCGCCGCTCATAGCCGCTATACATGACTTGCTGGAGACCTGTGCCACGCTCAGGCAAATGAAGCCGCAGGTCCTGAAATTCTTACCTGCTCGCCTCTCAGTGCTCTGTGACAGTGTGAGTGACTGCGCACTGCCTCAAACCGCTCCGGGGGCCCCGGGCATGTGTGTCTTGAGGCTTTCGAGGTCTGCAAGACCCGTTTGGCCTCACGGATATTTGTGCGGCCGAAGGAGTTCTTGAATGTTCTTGATTCCTTGATTCCCGTGGATGGCGTAGTTACGTTGTCCGTCGTGCAGCACGGCTTTTTGCATCGCAGCTTCAGGCTGCAGGGATCAAACCCGTCAGTGCTGCGTAGCTGCTTCTGCAAGGATTTGGTGAAACACTTCATGGATGTCGTGGATTTTGGAAGGCCCGCTTCGGGCAGTTTTCCATCCCCGCTTGACACCCTGCTTTTGGAGGAAAGATGCCCTCCTGGCAGATGCAGCGGCGGTGCACCAGCAACCTGACGCGCACGGCCGTCAGATCGCGTCCGTGATCTGACCCCAGATCAATCTCTACCTGCAAGAAAGGGCGGCTCTTCTTTAAGACCCCCTTTCCTAACCCCAGAGACAGGCCGACTTCCTCGCATTAATCGCGTGTGCTCAACGGGGGCGGGCGTCTTCCTCAGCTCTGAATCCGAACGCTTCGTGCTACTAGGAGAGCATCGACTTCACCGATTGGTTTCGTCTGGGAAGGCAGGCGGCGAGTTCTGAGGGGCTCGGCTCCGTCGTGTTTAGAGATGACTGAAAAGGTTCCTATTTCGGGACTCCCAGCCAAGCTGAAAGCAGCCTGATTTCAGGTCTGAAACTGAAGGCTTCATTTGGACCTCAGCCTCGTTTTCAGAGCTCAAATTGGATTCTCATTTGAGGCCATCGGCTAGATCGTAGATGAGACCCGCCTTCAGGCTCCTAGTAAACGCGACTCGTGTCAGCTCAGCTGTCACCTCATCAGGCCGCGCTTTGCGCGACACGGCAAATTTTTTCTTCAGCGTGCGCTGCGTTACTGACGTGGCAATCGCTTCACTTTCTTCGGTGTGCGCTGCGTTACTGACGTGGCAATCACCACCCCCCTGAGGTGTGCGCTTCGTCAACTGACGTGGCAATCACTTCTCGCTGACGCCGTGCCAGTGCCGTATATGAGACAGTCGCCGGGCTCCTTTTTCTTCAGATCCTCGGTCGCAATCGAAATCAAGGTTCCGATTTAGCCCTCGGTTTATCGCCCTCCCGAGCCCGAACCTTAACGCCGCTGGAGGACGAGGGATTGGATTTCGGGCATTGAACGTGTGTAGGAGTGCAGGAGCAGTCTGAGTTTGATCTGCGAGGGTCTGACCTTTCGTGATGCTAGAGTGGTTCGAACTGTAGCCTGGTTTGCATTCGCCTTTGCTTCGTTCGTCGCCATGGCCTCCATCTATGAGGTCGGCGGGGCACCGTTCGGCTTCGTCGTGACAGCGTCGTGCATCTCCCTGGTCAGGTGATTCGTGCCGGATCGGTGCGTGTGGAGCCGGCAGCGGACTTGCTGGAAGAGTGCCAGAGCACAGGCCCGGCTTCGCGTGGGTTCGGAGTGTGTCCGTAGCAGCCGCATCTTGTTTAGGTTCATCGCACTATGGCGATGGCTACCACCTCAACTCCCGGTCCCTCCCCAACCTGTACGCACATCTGGCCCCTTATCTGGAGGACCGACGTTTTTTTTTTTCTCCCCTCTCTTCTTCTTCCACAGGATGCCGCCGTCATCACGTCCGATTCGTGCCTCTGCTACTCGGAGAACGGCTGGAAGGACCTCTCAATTGCGAATTCACGTGTAGGGTTGTCAGATGAAGTCGCCTGGCAGGACTATCAGGGCAGCGTCGCGCGGGCGACGCTGGGTCCCGCCCACGTCGAGCCGTTCTGGGGCAAGGGGCTGAGGGGCATGGCGGACGGCTTGGGGGCCGTCGCCCTCCGACCAGCCGCGGGGCGTGGTGCGTTAGTGGTCGTCTGCGCAGGCTGGATCGGTTGTCTTGTCTTCGTGAGCTCGTTCGCTGGCCGAATCTGTCAGGCAACGACCTTTATACGCGCCGCTGGCAGCGGTGGTGGCAGGTCAGGGACGCCATGAACGACCTGGCCCAGGCGCCGACATCTCTCGAGCTTGATGCCACCATGCTCGATCGCCGAGACTGCGGCTTGGGTGCACCTGCTGAAGTCTCTTCAGATTCGTGCGCCTGGATTTTCACAGCAGTCTGTGAGTCTGTGCATATCGCCTTCAGCGCCGCCTTTGCTGCTGCAGGTTTTCGCTGCCTCATGTTCCTCAGCACAGTGTGGTTTGAGCATGCCCCGCTGCAGATGCTGCGCATGGCTCGGCACCTTGTCCAACGTGCCGAGACTCGGGATCCACACTCTTGGTTTTACCGCTACACCTCAGCGGCTGCGAGGGTCTCCTTGAGGGAGCTCCTTTTGGACTCCCCTGGATTCCAGACTTGGTTGACAGCGCAAGCGATTGCTGAGGTCTCCAAAAGTGAGTAATGAAGTTGATGAAGCATATCAATGAGAAGCCTCGACGAACGACCCCTCGACCGAAGCACCAGGATAGCATCAGGGCAGCCAGCGATGCGGAGACGCAAACGGCATTGCGACGTGAGCTCGAAGGATGGACGCGAAGATTCACTGTTTCTGCTCTCGCCCTTTCTTGGGCGTTGCTTGGAGGTTTCAGCGGTGAGACTTTGAGACCGTGTGCGGGAAAGAGGGGTGCAGTCCCAGCGCTGTGGGGTTCGAAGTATCTGCCGTTAGACCCAACCCTTCCGCCTTAGCTTGCAGAAGAAGCTGACAACAAGGACAAGCCGGCTTGACAGTTCAAGAGGCCAATATTGGGGACACCCGTCTCGACACCATGACATCAAATGGCCCTTCTGAGTTTCTAGACAGCGTGTCTTCTGATGGAAGGCATGTGTCCTCCCCTGAAGCCTTCGCCTTTTGGCCCCATGAGTTCTTGGCATTTCGTATTCATGAGTGAGCCAAAACATACAAAGACTCTGGGAACTCAGAGCTTGATTGTCGTTCTTGTCGTGGCTATAGGAAGCCCAAATCTCAGCAGCAACGCCCCTCCCAAGCGACCTACCCCCGTGCGAGAGTTGCCATGGGCTGGGCATCGCAGCAGCTTTGGGATGCGCAGGTGAGTTTCGCGGGTTGAGCCCGATCGATGGCCAAAGCGATAGGGGTCAGTGGATCAGTGCCGGGTTGCGCGTGGAGTGATTTAAACTTTGCCTCCGCAAGGCCCAGCATCTCCTTCCGAGACTACCGCTGGGAGGGTTTCGTGCCCACTCGAGCACGTCTTCATCCTTCATGGATGCTGGGAGGAGATGCGACTGACAAAAAAAACAAGCCCGTGGGAATTTGGTCACCAGCAGGACGCTGCAGCTAGACGAGGGCCTGCCAAAGGATATTTGCCAGAAGTACGTCAAGTTCTCAGTTCTCAGGGGAGAGACTGGCCACACTTTGGCTTGTGGATTTGTAGTTCCCTGCTCCCTCCTCATTTCCTTCGCAAGGTCGTTGCCAACGGCTTGCACGATCTGGCATTCGGCATTCCAGAGTGGCACCTCTGCAAAATCCTGTTGAGGCTTTTTGGGGGGCTGTGGACCCCAGATTCTGCACCTAGACAACCTGCAGCATCCTACTTCCAGACCTCAACCTAGGCGACATTACAAGTCCGAGTGGCTGGCTGGCCGCCGCTCGCCGCCTCTCCAACACTTGCCTAGCCGGGACTACGCCGTGCTGCTGCAAGCCCGGAAGCATTTCCTGAAGGCGGGCTTCCTAAAAACGCTAACGCGGCCATCCCGGCTATGCCTTCTGAGTATCGCTGTCCTGCTGCAAGCTCTCCCCTTGAGCACTTCGACGGTGTGCCCAGGCGCGCGAGCAGCTGTATCTTGCCTGAAAAGTGTCTTTTCAGTTCTTGTCATGTGTGGCTGTAGCGTGCAGCTGCAAGTAGCTGCGAGTACATTCTATCAGCGAGATTTACTGACGGTCCGAGGCTGATGAGTGGCTATCGCCCCACATCTGCTCGCGAGCGGCTGAAGCTGTCCAAGGACCTTGGGGCTGCTTGCGTGTGAAGTCATAAAGCACGTGGGTTTTGTGTGTGTGTGTGTGAGTGAGTGAGTGAGTGAGTGAGTGAGTGTATGTATGTATGTATGCATGTATGTATGTATGTGTGTATGTGTGTGTGTATGTATGTATGTATGTATGTATGTATGTATGTATGTATGTATGTATGTATGTATGTATGTATGTATGTATGTATGTATGTATGTATGTGTATGTATGTATGTATGTATGTATGTATGTATGTATGTATGTATGTGTGTGTGTGTGTGTGTGTGTGTGTGTGTGTGTGTGTGTGTGTGTGTGTGTGTGTGTGTGTGTGTGTGTGTGTGTGTGAGGGTGGGTCTCGCTTGTAGCTTGTTGCAGGATGCCGCAAAGTTTCTGAGTACCGTCCCGACACCACCAGCCAGCCCGCGGCACTGGTCATGCAGATGCCATCATGGCCTGATTCTTCCGGCCGTGCACGGCCCTTGTACCCTGAACACTTTCATAGCAACACTCGTGGGCCCAGGCCAAGGAGATCGCCGCGGGCCTGCGCCTTGTAGACCGTGTGGTCGACCAGCAGAAGACTGCGGAATTCGAGCCTCGCTCAGTCGCGTAAGGGTGTTTGAGGGGGTTACTTAAGGTTTCAAAAAAGCCTCCACGAAAAGAGAATACTTTGCTCAAAGTGCGCGCGGCTATGAAGCATAAGGCACTTGAGGGCTCTTCTTGCGGTGAGGGTGAACGTTTTTGAAGATGCCGAAGTCGCTCTCCCACTTACCTCCCCCCTGAGGCACAGAGAGAACGCAAGTTGAAGCTGTGAGCCTGTGAGCCCTGTTTGCTCTACAACTCACGAATCAGCTCAGCAGTTTCCTGCAAAGTGGAATAGAGATGGCAGAAGAATCGAGGAAGACTGGGCCAAGAGCGTGGACTATGCCAGTCGGCGGCGCCAGCTTCTCACACTGCAGGAGATACAAAGCCTCGCCAAGAACTTGGCCGAGATGGCCAGGACGGCCAGAGAGCAGCGACTCTCCCTTGGATCTCTCTCTTTTTTGTGGAGAGGTTTTCTCAGGTATGGAGGTTTCTTTCAGGTTCTTCACCTTTGTTCCGCTCGTTTGGTTCGTGCTCGTGGGTCTGTCACGCCCTTCTTGACACGCTCCTGGAGCAGTGCAGTCCAGGACGTGTGGCGCAGAGGTACGCAAAGGCAAAGGGCTGACAGAGTTCTGAGCCTGAGAAAAGGAGCGTGTGCTGCCTGTGCTGCCCATGCTCATGGTTCGCTCCCCGCTGCCCTGCGTACGGTGCGAGCTGCATACAGAGCGAATGCTCAAGCAGGCTGCCGTGAAGTGGCGCGCGTACATATTCGGAGCAACATGCCAAAGGCAATTCTGCCGCATCTCTCACACAACATAGTGGCAGGACGATAGCAGATAGCAGATGTGACAGAACATGACAGAACATCGTTCACTTTTTTCTGCGCACCACCTGGCTTCCACGCCCCAGCGACGCATGTGAGGAAGGCATTTTCAGCAGCAAGTTTGATGTAACAACCCTCATGACCCATCACCGCCTCGCCCACCCAAATGCTCTGAATGCCATTTGCATTGTCAAAATGCATGGTGCCGCAGGCCCAAAGGAAAGGCCGTCCAGAGGGGGCATGGAAGGCGCGTAGCCGCGTAGACCATCTTCCGACAGTTCAAGCGCCCTCTGACACCACCACACAGTTCCGCAACAACCCAAAGACCCAACAGAACCAAAGCGTACCCTTCCTTGCCTTCTGAGGCCGCGTGCACAACTTCCGAAAGGCACGCGGAGAGAGAGATGCCGTGGGAGAGATGCCTTTTGCTCGGTGGAGGTCCTGTCGGACTTTGAGAGCCGGCTGCCTAACGCGGACTTCGTGGCAATCGACACAGAGCTCACGGGCGTCGACCTCGAGGCAAGGTGTTTTGCGAAGTGTAGGCAGGCCACTCGACCAGAACCGCTATCCACTGCTGGCAACCCACCTTCGTGTTTCTGTTTGTCTGTTCTTGGGCCAAGATTGCGCCGAATCTCTAAGGGAAGCAGCTACGCTTCAGAGCAACTCTTGTACTCCACCCTGTGGCAGAGCTTTTCGGATTTGCAGCTGCCTCTGCAGAGGGGGAGATCGATTCCTTCGATGACTCGGCGTTGTCTCGCCTTGACCGGCATTGCCGGATTGCCGAGCGGACGCTTGCATGCAAACATAACATGTGTGGCACAGCCATTGGGACAGGAAGCCTTGCTTTGGTTGTGGCCACGGCGTCTTTATGGCTGAGAGGTACACGCTGATCCAGCTGGGCTTGACGCTGGTCAGCTCTCAGCTCAGCTCAGATTTCTCCCCGCAGGGAGAGCACGAGCTTTCTCTCGGAGAGATGGCACATCCTCGGAGAGCACAGCCGGGGGCCACTCACTCTCGGGGGGCCCGCAGCTGTGCTCTTTGTGAGGCCAGGAGCGGAGTGCTCGGGAGGACATCCTCAACTTTGCAAGCTACAACCTCTTCGCATTTCCTTATGCCGCCAAGCGGCAATGTGGCAAATCGATTCGTGAAATCGTGATCTTGCCTGCTTCGCTTTCCTATCCTCATGCTCGCAGGCTGGCAACGACCTAATTGGACGTGACCAAGGCTTCTTCTGTCAGGTGCCGCTTGAGCATGCTGCAGGCATGCAATGAGGCAATAAAGCTGTAGGACCTGGGCATCGGGTACTTGTGACCTGCGGCGACGCAGGCTTCTGCCCTGCAGTTTAACGCGCGGAACAACGTGGACTTCAACACGTGGATTCGCGACGGAATCCCCTACATGAGCCGAGAGGTCCCCCAGTCTTTCCGAAGTTCCCCGTGCGTATCAGATGTTGAGTCACATGGAACGTCCTCTGCAAAATGGACCGGCTTTGGGTTGGTATGATGTCCGAGCTTGTCTTCCTGCCTCTCATTCACGTTTGGCTCACAGGACGAGCGGCGCTACAGGAAGTACTACGGATCCCGTGGCATGGTGGACGACAAGGTCCCCCTTATGGGGTAGAGGTCGTTCTTTGCGGGAATCATGAGGCGTTGAGATATTCTCTTGCGTGCCCCTCTCAAGGGGAGCCCTTTTTGGCTGCTGGCAGCCGAGGTTGGCCTCCTGCGGCTGTGGAAAGCTCTCTGTGCTCGGCAGCTACCCTTCGCCGGGCCCCTACTTGGTAAAAGACCAGCTTTGGACTCCTTAAAGAAGATCGCGGCAGCAGCTGAGACGTACAGGTGGTGCACTGCCCACTGGACCTCTTCTTTCTGCTTGCGGCCTTCGAGCAGCCGGCTTAACACAACATTTTGACTGCATTTGTTTCTGGAGGCGGGTGGCTTCGGTGTACCATGTGACCGCGCTGCAGTGGTTCAGGCGTCGGCCGCTGCCGCGCAATGATCCACGAGCGATGGCGCAGATCATCCGACACTGCACGCCCAAGGAGCGGCTGCCCAGGGTCATGATTGGTCATGGGATCATGGACAACTGGAACTATGGTATGGCAAAAGCTAGTCCGAGATCCAAGACATGTACCAAGAAGAGGGCATACCTAGACAGAGGGACGTGTGTGGTTACTGCAATGCTGTTGGCAAACATCCAATGCGACTGTGTCTCCAGCAAAGAATTGAGGAATGCCTTTTTGGCCATTTCTCTGGCTCTCGCGAGTTCGTTTTTGCAGACGTGAACACCGCGTTCCAGACGCTTGCAAACACTTGCGATTCTGCAAGGCTAAAGTTTGAAGTGGGCGAACACGCCGCGGAGTGGAGGGAAGGACACAAATGGAAACAGGATGAAGTCCCGCAGAAGCGGGCAGGGAACGTCTGTGCCCCTGACTTGCCGGGCACGAAGAGGGAGAGGTCGCAAGCCCCAAGCTGAATCCATTCAAGCTGCCAGAAACACATATAAACACCCTAAACAGTTCAATCGAAGCACGTCTCTAAAGCATAAAAGGGCAACACCAACTTCCGGAGGTGGTGGACACGGCTCACCTTCACGGTGCCCTCGGTGGCTTCAAACGTCTTGGCCTCACAAAGTTTGCAGAGGACGCCAAGGCGCGGAGATGATGCCAGGGGTTGTGAACTGACACTACTTGTTTGTCCTCTCTCTCTCTCTCTCTGTCTCTCTCTCTCTCTCTGATTTTGTCTGCGTCTCTCTTGTTGCCCCCAAAAGAAATGAAAGCACCTTCCCCAAAAAGCGAGGCGAGGCACCAAGAGTTGGCCGGCAACGGCAACGTGCCGCATTTGAAGTTCCGCCTCGTGGGGGAGACCGCCAGCCGCGAGCCCACAAAGGGGGGAGACAGGCACACGTGCACATGCGCGCGCACGCACGCACACACACAAAGAAGACAGACAGAAGCCCTACAAGGCCAAAGAAAACCATAGAAACGAGACACAGCTTTTTTGTGGCGCCTGCTATCCAACAACAAGGCCGGTACGGGGCCCCCGCCGACCGGAACGAGCTGGCGCACGAGGCCGGCGGACGGAGGGAATAAGGAAGGGCCCAAAAACATCCAAAAAGTGGTCCTCTGAATGTAGACAGCTTGAAGAAATCCCCGAAGACACGCTCTTTCACAGGCCGGCTTCGACTCCCTGGTCACCGCGCAGCTCTTCGCGTACCTCCGGGCGATATCGCCGACACAGGTCCGTGAGGGCGCGAACCGGCTCTTCCTCTACAAGAGTGCCTTGGAAGGAAGCAGCAAAGATCACCTGAAGAGAAGCATGCGAAACGCCCTAATGTTGAAACACAAGCAGGGAAAATGCTTTGGAAAGACATGTGCTTTTGGCTTCGTTGTTGTTCATGCTCATTGTGTGTTGTTCTTTTCACGTTGAGTGTCTCTGAGGCATCGAGTACCTGGACCTGGACCGTGCTTTGGAAGGGGAGGCGAGCACCATCTCTGCTTCCCCTCATGCCTACTCCGTTCTACGTCGCCTTTCTGCACTTCTTCTCCATAGTTTGCTTCACTGCTACTGCGTACTTCCATTCCGTTCTGCTCCACTTCTACTCCATGCTCTTTTTCTTGTTTCTTCCACAAAGCAGAAAGAGGTGGGCGTCTGCATGTTCGACCTCAGCCGGGGTGCCGGGCCTCAGAGAGGGGACACCACGGTGCTCTTTGGGTGCTCGTGTTGCTCAGTTACCCGGATTAGGCTTCAAGTTCTTAAGTGACAGACAAGCTTGCGCATAAGCAAGAGCCCTGATCTTCACGTTCTTAGAAGCTACGCTGAGACTTGTTTGAACCTCATCTCTGCGTTCGTTTGCTCAGTTACCCTCTTGGTGGCTGCTTTGGACACGGTGGATGGGAATGACGCCCCCAGGCTCTCCTCTTTGAGCTCGGTCTCTGCAAGTTGGCTTAACAGAGAGAGAACTTGTCCTCAAGAAATCGAATGTTTGCATGTGCAAGCGTTATGTCTTTGTGGCTAATTCTCAGGAGGCCTCACGAGGTGTGTCATTATCCTTTGTGCTGGGGCTGGGCAAAAGACTGCGCCGTACACCTTAAGACGAAGTCAATCTCCGCCGCCACCAGCCTTGAGACCCGCTTTTGGCCTAGTAAAATTGGGGGGTTTGTTTGTTTCTTTAGTTTCTCCGCTGTTGTTGTCCAGCTTCCCAGGTGCAACGCTAGGACTTAGCTAGTCCACTGGAAATTCCCCGCAATCTGCATGTCAAGGCAATGGGGATGCTGAGTTGCGATGTCCTGTTCACCTGCAACTTTGCACGCTTTGCTTAAACCAAGTCTTGGTTTTGGGGTTTCCCCGTTAGCTAACTTCCAAAAAATTCCCCCTTCAAAAGCCGACTTCCAATAAAATTCCCCCCCCCCGGGCAAGCCACAAAGCTAACCGCCAATAAAATTCCCCTTAGCAAGGCAGAAAGCTGACTTCTCCCCCTGAGCAAGTAGCCATTGCAACAAGACCTTCCTCAGAAACTCGAGACACGAAGCAATTTGCAACGAAGCTTTCCTTAGAAATTCAGAAGCTCAAGACATGTAGCAAGTGCAACGAAACCTTCCTCAGAAGTTCAAGACATGTAGCAATTGCAACGAAACATTCCTCAGAAACTCAAGGCTAGTAGCATTTACAGTGAAAACTTCCCCAGAATTTTTTCCGAGTAGCAATTGCGACGAAACCTTCCTCAGAAATTCAAGACATGCAGCAATGGCAACGAAACCTTCCTCAGAAAATCAAGACTACTAGCATGTACATCCAAGACATATAGCAATTGCAACGAGACCCTCCTCAGAAATTTCAACCCGAGCAGCAGTCACAAGGAAACCTCCTTCAGAAATTCAAGCCGAATAGCAATGGCAACGAAACTTTCCTCAAAGAGTCAAGACACGTAGCAAAGGCAACGAAACCTTGTTCAGAAACTCAAATTTAGTAGCATGTACAGCGAAACCTTATTCAGCAATTCAAGCCGAGAAGCAAACGCAACGAAACCTTCCTTCCTCACAAACTCAAGGCTAGTAGCAATTACGGCGGAACCTTCCTCAGAAATTAAAAGCATGTAGCAATTGCAACGAAACCATCCTCAGAAATTCAAGCCGAGAAGCAACTGCAACGAAACCTGTCTCAAAACATCAAGCCGAGAAGCAATTGCAACGAAACCTTCCTCAGAAGCTCAAGACTAGTAGCATTTGTAGCGAAACCTTCCTCAGAAGTTCAAGACATGTAGCAATTGGAACAAAACCTCCCTCAGAAGTTCTGGACAGGTACAAATTGCAACGAAACATTCCTCAGAAACTCAAGACCAGTAGCAGTTACAGAGAAACCTTGCTCAAAAACTTCAAGCCGAGTAGTAATTGCAAACGAAACCTTCCTCAGAAATTCAAGACATGTAGCAATTGCAACGAAGCCTTCCGCAGAAACTTAAGACAAGTAGCATGTGCAGCAAAATCTAGTTTCTTAATTCAAGCCGAGTAGCAATTGCAACGAAACCTTCCTTAGAAATTCAAGCCGAGAAGCAATTGCAACGAAACCTTCCTCAGAAACTCAAGACTAGTATCGTTTGCAGCGAAACCTTCCGCATAAAATCAAGACACGTAGCAAGTTGCAACGAAATCTTCCTCAGAAATTCAATACATGTAGACATGTAGCAATTGCAACGAAACCTTCCTCAGAAATTCACGACTTAAAGCATGTACAGAAAAACCTTCCCCAGAAATTCAAGACTAGTAGCATCTACAGCAAAACCTTCCTCAGAAGTTCAAGACATGAAACAATTTCACAAAAACATTCCGCAGAAATTCAAGACATGTAACAATTGCAGCGAAACCTTCCTCGTAACTTCAAGACACGTGGCATTTACAACAAAACCTTCCTCAAAAGTTCAAGCCGACCAGTTATTGCGACGACACCTTCCTCAAACATTCTAGCCGAGTAGCAATTGCAGCGAAACCTTCCTCAGAAACTCAAGGCATGTCTCACTTGCAACGAAACCTTACTCAGAAATTCAAGACATGTAGCATTTACAACAAACCTTCCTCAGAAACTCAAGACATATAGCAATTGCAACGAAGCCTTCCTCAGAAACTCAAGACTAGCAGCATTTACAGCAACACCTTGCTCAGAAATTCAAGCCGAGTAGCAATTGAAAGCAAGACCTTCCTCAGAAACTCAAGACACGAAGCAATTTGCAACGAAACCTACCTCAGAAATTCAGAAAGTCAAGACATATAGTAATTGCAACAAGATCTTCCCCAGAAACTCAAGACATATAGCCATTTTTCGCGAAACCTTCCTCAGAAACTCAATACATGTAGCAATTGCAATTAACCCTGACTCTTAACTTCACGACATGTAGCAATTGCAACGAAACCTTTCTCAGAAACTCAAGGCCTTAGTAGCATTTACCGCGAAACCTTCCTCAGAAGCTCAAGACATGTAGCAATTGCAACAAAACCTTCCTCAGAAGTTCAGGACATGTAGAAATTGCGACGCAACATTCCTCAAAAACTCAAGACCAGTAGCAGTTACAGAGAAACCTTGCTCAGAAATTGAAGCCGAGTAGTAATTGCAACGAAACCTGTCTCAAAAATTCAAGCCGCAAGCCGAGAAGCAATTGCAACGAAACCTTCCTCATAAATTCAAGACTAGTAGCAATTGCAACGAAACCTTCCTCACAAAATCAAGACACGTAGCAATTGCAACAAAACCTTCCTCAGAAACTCAAGACATGTAGCAATTGCAACGAAGCTCTCTGTAGAAACCTAAGACCAGTAGCATTTACAGCAGAATCTTCCTTCGAAATTCAAGCCGCGAAGCTCTCTGCAGAAACCTAAGACTAGTAGCTTTTACAAAAAAAATTTCCTCAGAAAATCAAGACTAGTAGCATTTACATCCAAGGCATATAGCAATTGCAACGAAACCGTCCTCAGAAGTTCAACCCGAGTAGCAGTTACAAGGAAACCTTCCTCAAAAAAGTCCAGACGTAGCATTTCCAGCAAAACCTTCCTCAGAAATTGCAGCCGAGTAGCAATTGCAACGAAACCTTCCTCAGAAACCCAAATAACGTAGCGCTCACAACAAAACCTTCATCAGAAAATCAAGACGAGTAGCAATTGCAACGGAACCTTCCTCAGAAATCAAGACACGTAGCAAAGGCAACGAAACCTTCCTCAGAAACTAAAAAAGTTCTTTCCATTTACAGCGAAACCTTATTCAGGATTGGGGGCGCGGAGGGGGGTCGTTTCCGCGCAGCAGACACTCAGACACTCAGACAGTCAGACAACCAGACATTCGGACATTCGGACCATCGGACGTCAGTTGGTCTTGAGGAGTTTGACTCTCTGACTGTTTGACAGTCTGCCTTCTCGGTCTGCTAATTTAGACATTCAGACGCGAGCTGGTCTTAAAGAGTCTGACAGGGGTCGTTTCCGTGCAGCAGACACTCAGACACTCAGACGCTCAGACGCTCAGACACTCAGACGCTCAGACACTCAGACGCTCAGACGCTCAGACACTCAGACATTGGACCCTCGGACGTGAGTTGTTCTTGAAGAGTTTGACTGTCTGACTGTTTAACAGTCTGCCTTCTTGGTCCGCGAGTTCAGACATTCAGACGTGAGCTGGTCTTAGAGAGTCTGACTGTCTGACTGACATTCAGATGCGAGCTGGTCTTAAAGAGTCTGACTGTCTGAGTGTCTGATCTCGGTCCGCGTATGCTGGACTTCAAGAGTCTGATTGTCTGACTGTCTGACTGTCCGACTTGCTGGTCTGTGTATTCCGGATTCGAAGAGTCTTACTGTCTCAGACGCTCAGACACTCAGACATTTAGACATGAACAGGTCGGCTTGCGTGTTCTAGACTTGAAAAGTCTAACTGTCTGACTGCTTCACTCTCTGCACGCACTCACGTCGGCCTAGCAGCTTGGTTCACAACAAGTCACTCAGACAGTCAGACATGGGACCTGCATACGTTCAGATAGTCAGACACTCATCCCCTTTGGACTGCTCAGACACTCAGACAGTCAGACACTCACACACATTAAAAAGAGAAGACAGTCAGATACTCAGACAGCGAGAGACATGGGATCTGCAGACGTTCAGCCAGTCAGACGCTCAGACACTTTAGGCTGCGCAGACACTCAAACACATAATCCGAAAGCTTTATGACTACCCAACTTCAGCGGAAATTCACTTTTCTCCTGTACTTGGGTACGAGACCCGCGAGCACGCAAGTCTCCTCCAAAAGAAAATGGCTGACTCTCTGACCGTCTGACTGTCTGCCGTCCGACTGTCTGACTGTCTGACTGTCTGTCTGACTGTCTGATTGTCTGACTGTCTGACTGTCTGCTTTTCAGTTTGCGCCCCATTTGCACGCTCTCTCTTATTCAGCAATTCAAGCTGAGTAGCAAATTGCAACGAAACTTTCCCCAGAAGTTCAAGAGACGTAGCAATGCAACGAAGCCTTGCTCAGTAATTCAAGACACGAAGCAGTTGCAACGAAACCTACCTCAGAAATTCAAGACACGTAGCAATTGCAACAAAACCTTCCTCAGAAACTCAAGACATGTAGCAATTGCAACTAAAAGCCATCTGCAGAAACCTAAGGCTAGGAGCATTTCCAGCGACATCTTCCGTCGATTCAAGCCGACTAGCAATTGCAACGAAACCTTCCTCAAGAAATTCAAGACATGCAGCAATTGCAACGAAACCTCCTTCAAAAACTCAAGACTAGTATCATTTGCAGCAAAACCTTCCTCAGAAGCTCAAGACTAGTAGCATTTGTAGCGAAACCTTCTTCAGAAGTTCAAGACATGTAGCAATTGCAACAGAACCTTCCTCAGAAGTTCAGGACATGTAGAAATTGCAACGAAACATTCC